TCAAGTCACTTACTCATATATCACCTTTCAAGTTTTGGCTAGTAATGACTCATCACACTTGTAATATCCACTGTCACCTTAACAAGATGCGGTACAGCATCCTACACAAGCAGTATCGATGATTTAAAATGACCTACAAATAGCTTCCTACATTATAATCAACTTACTCGTACGGAACAACTATGCGGTAACAAATGGCCATTTCGGCTGACGTGGGCGCTGTAAAACAGATCTGCCAGATAGCCAATATTAATCTGCATTCAGTACAATTCCCCTCTGTTGTTACTTACGATAAAAATGCTGACAAAATCATACAAATAAATCACTAATTTCAAATTAATAGACAATTTGGATATAAATCAAGAATAAGATACTATGCCGCACACAACAAAGTTATATGGAGGAATAGACTTCAAGCTATATTTTTCCCCAAATATTTGTAATCCATCCAAATTATACTCAGGTTTTGTTGTTAATGCGAGGAGAGTATTTCTGTATTTCTTTATGTGCTCCGTTGAATCACTGGTTAGCAGACTGTACCCACAAACCAAAGTCAAGAAGGACAGCAACCATGTAATTTCACCATGAATCAAATTTATGCCATTTAAATAATACTTATCTATGCGTGTGAAACTGTTGTGGCCAACATAGATGGGAATAAATATATATTATTGTTAGCATTCTTGTTTCTTTTCCAAGTGCAACGGACACTGGACAAGAAGCAAACGAAGCACGAGATCCAACGGACAAACATCAACGAAGCGATGTACAGACATCCTATCAGCATATGTAGACGACCAGTAGGTACTCCTCCAAGCCCTTCGGAAGAGCTTTACCGATGGGAACCATTGAGTTTCGTTTTACTTCCTACTGGTTCTGTCTTGGGGTCCTCACACCCCCACTAGAGGGAAGTGAGCTGTAGCGGTAAATAATTTCCAAAAATTATTGGCCATATCGCTTCTGACCCTCACTGTTTAAGTCAACTTGTTTAGCTGAAGGCTTCCAGTCAAGCACCCACGCCATTTAGTAGTCCATCGTGTCACATTCGTGCAAAATCCCTAGCCAGCCAAGCAATCCTCTCTCACTCCAATTTGGTCCCGAAATATATCTTGTGATCTGGACGATCATCTGTTATGTTTCGCCTTGCCTTGGTCTACGTGGAACGAATCCTATGGAAGTTGTAGGCATTAGATCTTGCGTTAGTATACTTCTTACCAACCGCGAACGTCGATACCGCCAGCCTCTAAATAAGAACATCCATTATGTTACCCCATCTGTATCAGTGGATAGCCATTATCAGCTTCCATTAATGAGATCCAGTGTTTTCCATCCGGGTAGACATCAAGTGGGTGACAATAAGCTCCATGGTATCAATTTATTTTGAAAGGATTTTACTGAAAAAATATAGTCTGAGTTTATAGTTGCCCTGGTGAAGCCTGAATTCTCCAAAGGCTGACTGCAGTCTGTAAGTCCATCTGACTCCACCATAATCTATACGTTATTGACCCCTTCTCAAAATAGGCACATTTTTACATTTAGTAATATAGTTATCGTCCCACTAATAAACAACAAATCGCTGCCATCGGGCAATATTTCAAGCATGTTTGCAAATATGTGCATTAAAGCAGATTCTGAGGGATGTTTAGTTGAGAAGATTACTGTTCAGTTACGTGTCTTATCCTAATAAAAAATATGTTCCATCATAATTGCGATTCAAGACCTGCAGTTTTGCACCCGTGTTTCGCGTGAGCTGGGGAGGCGGTAAATGCCTCAGTTAAATTATATTTGACTAATAAAATCTTTCATGAATGCGAAGAAGTCCGTTGTTGTCTAGTGCAGCTAGGCGATATGGTGACGATACTCAACACTCAGTGACTTGATTCCGAGATGTGCCTCATCTTTACAGACAATATCCTTAACGCTTCAATGTGAGATGGATTTTTTGAGACCCTTCACAAACGATTAAACTGTCTCCAAATAACAGTTTGTCTCCCAAAGTTACTTCCAGTAACACAAGATTCCTGGAAGCCTAGTACTTAAACCAATTTTCACTATACAGACCTACCGACATAGACTGAATTCGATGAGTAATATAGAAAGTAGCTAAGGTGATAGATTCCACCTCCATGGAAACACTGACACCATTACAAATTAGGTATATAATTAAGGGCAATATAAGCTTTGAAGGCAATAAATTCCAGACAAGCCGTCATGAGGATACTAATACTAAAGAAAACCAATATTTCAGGATATCTGAATGAATTAGAGTTCTCTTCCAATTGACTTCAGCTAAAAATTAGGCTAATGATTGCTATATATGCATCCACCCTGCTAGACCCGAGCTTTTGCCACACTACCTGCTGGCTCTTTAGCCTGTCTCACCCAGTCCGGTGGCCAAGTTGTTCTTAACACTGACCCAACTAGAAGAGGGAGGAAATAACTTAAATCGCTGCTTAAAGGCGTATTTATTGGCGACATTATCGATATATTATAGGGATACACAACGACAAACTAAAGTTGCACGGAGCTCTTGTTCTCTGAAAAGTATATTGACTACAATGTGTTACAATCCACATGGATGTACAAATTGATTGTTAACAGTGGAATAGCTGAATTTCAGTTGTCTTGAAGAGCCCTTTGGTGCCTTACATTCTCACACTTTTTGACACAACAAGTGGTCGACATAAGTTGTTTCAGCTTTACTAAAAGTGACGTGTCCTTCTTTGAAGGAAAATTTGTTAGCGACAATCAGCGGAATACACTGATTTTCCGGTGTGCTTATGATTCACAATTCCAGACATCTATGTACTATTCCACCCACACTAACTGTCACTACTTGACTGAGTAGCATAACAACAGTCCTTATCCGAATGGACGAGCCCACTTAACATCCTTCAAGCTAGTAACCTATCATCAGCGGGTGATTTAGAATTAATGAGAAAATAATCAACAGAGCTACCATGGCTTATGTGGAAAACCAAAACTTGTCATCCAACACGCATCACAATTTTAGTGGAAATTCCTTGTATCACAAAGGTCAAGCAAACTTGAGGAATAACATAAAACAATAAGGTTGTTTTCACAGATTCTAACGGGGCTTTCGAGAGAGCTTTTTGTACACTACCGCCCAGGGAAATCAAAAGTTTTGCAGTTAGAGGCGGCCTTCCGGCGTCGACCGAAGTTCCTTGTCAGTTGAAGGCAGAGGGTCAGGATCAACTTAGTCGTGCACAGCAGTGCTTCACAAATTACTGCACTCAGCCATCCCTTTATACTCAATCGTCTTATTCCTGTACTTTCCTAGTGAAACATAGGGCTTCAAGTCGGCGACCATACCGCGTTGAAAGCACCGGTTCTCGTCCGATCACCGAAGTTAAGCAACGTTGGGCCCGGTTAGTACTTGCATGGGTGACCGGCTGGGAATACCGGGTGTTGCCGGCTTTATGAACGGCGGCCGTGACTACAACGCCTTCCCTGGAGATTTTTAAGCGGAAGCTAGACAATCATGCAGAAATGCAAGGTTTGTGTCTCAGTGGCCTATCCCCATAAAACTTGAAACCACACTGTCAATGGATAAGCGTACAAACTAAATCCCCACGACCTATTCTGCCTTCTCTCACTCTATCTTTTCCTTAGGTCACCTTTATTATTCCACTTATCTCGACCTATATTATCTACACTACAACCCATTATTTTTATTCTTATTATTATTACTACTATTCTGCTTTTTATGACTACACCGAATGACCAACGGGAGTTAGGTCAAACTCCATTCACGGCAGCAATACAGTCCTAACATACTGCACACTACAAACCACATCTCGACCAATCCCCGCACCACTCCTCCTGGAGTCTACCAGAGCTAAAGCAGTCGAGTGGCGGGACTTACTACGCAGAAGCTCACCGAAGATCTGGAACCTCTACCTCACAATCAAGAAGCGAGCTCAAAGAAATCACTGGTTTATACTAGCTCGTTATCAGGATATTGGATATTGGAAGTTAAGGACTTGAAGCTTCAGTAGCAATGGTATTTTTTCACGAGATTAGATTGCGCAACCTTCCCTCCTTACCAGTCCTATTACTGGTTTAGCGAGGTAAAAGAGTGTGTCGGCCGGGGTTCAAACCAAAACCATATGCGTGGTCGGCGAGGATTCTGCCGCTGTGCCACCGACTCACTTTTTACGCAGTACATGAACGAATATCTAGATGTATGATTCCTTCGGGAACACCAACCAGGTAACTACAATGTGAGTAGCTCTCACTTAACCGTTTATTCGGTCTGCATAATACATGCTTCACTGGTACGTGGAGAATTACACAATCATGCACATATGACATAAATGTTATAGCATGTGACATAGAGGTAACTCCACTTATTATAGTTCATATTCACAATAGTCTGGGTGTCATGTTAAGTCACGCTTTACAAAATACGCAAACTGTCGCTCAGCATTACCTGGGGACGTTCGATTATCTTTGGAACTAAGGTGTTTATTAGAATTTTCAGTCTTTTGCACACCACTTTATAGAAATCGGTGGTAATGTCTAAACTGCATCCACTCGATGTACTGGGGGGAACTTTTGCATATTGAGAAGAATTAGAAGAATAACCACGTATGATTTCTTCAATGAACCAATTATCATACATAGTAAGACTCACAACATAGTGCCTCTACTTACAGTTTGAGTAGAGGAGATCTAATGACAACTTTCAAAACTTTCAGAAGTAATCACCAACATTTTCTTTTCATTGCCATCAGAATGGAACATCTCAAAGGAACTAGCAAGGCATTTCAAAGGCCAGTGGGGAACCGTATCGCTGTGGAGTACTGGTTCTATCACAGAGTAGTTGATTATTTGTGCTGACTTACAGATGTGTTGTCCGTAATCCTAATAAACACTTTTATGAGAGAAATGAAAAACACGGATACTTATTCCATGACCATTAAAATATAGTAGGAGCCTCCTGATTCCAAACAAAAATGTTGGTCTTTTTATCAATCAATAATCAAGGTTGTTTACTCTGTGGGTTGTTTGGACTTTCACATGCCTTCGACAGTTTCTGTTACATCGTTTTCTTCTTGGGCGTCTAATGCCACAAAATGCACAAATCCGGCATTCCGTAATGCCCTTAATCGTGCGTGGTCTAACGTTTCGATGCAAAAAGATGTATTATCTGTTCTTGCAGCTGTAACTAAAACGATCAAAGATAATGGTGGGAAGGAGTCTCCGGCGGAATATTATGCTGTCCTGGTACTTGTGAATTTAAAATGACCAATTATAAAATAAATAGCTGACTTTGATTAGTGAATCACCAGAAAAGGTGGCCCCAGCATACTTACTTAAGTTACTAATGTGCAAAGCGTAAGTTTGTCAAATTCTAAACGGCTGTTATAACACCGTAGTGTTCAGGACTCATTGTTACGCAAAACATGTGGGGAAGCTGCCAAAACGTTAATGAGTCTTTTAAATCCTCGAAGTGAATCGAGTAACCCTACACTAATAAAATCGGTAACTTAATTTATTTGAAATCTATTTTCCTTTAGGTTTTAACTTGCCTTGGTAGACTCTTGCGTGCTCAGTCGTATGACTCATGGTCAGCTGATTCCGTTCGTCACATATACCGTCATGTGCTGCGTTTTGTTGACAATGAAAAGCCCAGTATTCGTAAGGCGAGTCATTTAGCGATTGTGGACATCTTGAGTTCTTTCAACGTGGTCAGCTTAACAGAAGAAGTTAACTTCCATCCTGCATGTCATCAAACGCAAGAACATCTTAGTGCAGTTATACGTGAAGAAACAAGGTACGTTTTCCCAATACTCAGCATCTTTTTCGTCGTATAATTTTCCAGCTATTTGCTAGTAATTTCATATTTAGCTTACGAATGCATTTTTATTATTTTTGTTAAGATGAAAGTAAAATAACTTTGCGTAACTTTGAACATCTCCAACCACTTAATGAATAAAAGTAAAACGTTTCTTGGTTTACCTACGTGTTTCGTGATTCAGACCATCTTGCATCCTATGAGCGAAACATATGGAATAAAAGTACCGTCGCTTCAGCAGTTAACATTTTTCATTATGTGGGACAAAATATGCCACTCTGCTGCTCTACTAAAAGAAGCCTTACACCTGACTAACGGGATCATTGCATATTTATTGTATACTTGTTCGAATCCCAAATCTCCATTAGAGTGAGAGAGACATTTGTTCACTTAACCATTTTCCCATTTCTCCATGTATATGAAATCTTTTGGCCATCTTGTTCTGCATTTTGCCAGTAAGAATTTCTGCTTTACCAGTCATAATTCACATCCTGCTAAGTATGGTGTTTACTTTGTCTGGCAACAGTTCTTCTTAGTTCCATTGTAAATCAGTCTTCACATAGCTCAAACTCGCTTGCTACCGTGTTGGCAAGCAAAGATTTTAAAGGTATGAATTATCAAGTTCTAGTTTACTGCCTGTCGCTCAAGTGATGGCCATTAATTCATCAGAAAGAACTTGTTGTTTAGTTCTTCCCACCACGGTAAAAAAGTTCTTATCTTTCCAACTCACTGTTGTCACCTTGTATATAGTTTTATAGTGCCATTGCATACCCTTTATTCGTCATTTGCGCTAATGCTCTTGACTTACGCTGATCTTTACTATATTATAATCACTTGCATTCGCCTAAGTTGTACAACTTACGCATCTTCTTAAAAGTTCTCCTTTGTGTTTTGAGTGGGGCATGGACCTTCAAGCTTCAGCTTTGAAGTTTCAGTAGCAGTTGTGTTAATTTTTAAGGGTTGAGGTTGCTAACCTCATATTCAACCTTCCTTCTTTACCGGCTTTATTGCCGGCTAAGCAAGGTTTAAAACTGCTTCACCCGGGGATCGAACCGCTAACCACGTGCATTGTTGGCGCACACACGACATACCTAAGGTACTGTTAATGTCGTATTTTTAATACACAATTCCCTTTCTTAACTTTAGAACCTTCTTGTAGTCAACAAGCTTACAAACAAATGCTATTATCCATTCAGCTGTTTGTGCAATAAATTATGTGATATTAATTACCTCTCTTTTCAAGTTAGCTAATGAAGTTATTTAAATGTTTGCATGTATTGTTTTTACGTGTGTTAGGATGTATGCGGTTGACACGAACTGACGAATTGAAGTGGTACATTTCCCAGCTCCGTTCGTTGTCTTTTTCTTTAACTTGATAAACTAGACTTCCTTTCCTGTTACAAAGTACAACGTCTTAATTTTTATGTTTAATTATCATGTTCTTGTAAATTGGTGTTAATTTAACAACAAATTAGGAAACTGCTAGAATTTTAAGAAATACTTCTTATTCGTTCACCGGTGATATCCTGAATAGGTATGTCGTTAAATATGTCTTAGTATTTATATATATAACTGTAGATTGTGTAATGAATTAAAAATGTGCTGTTCTGTTTCTTCCAGGCAACTAATAACTTCATTGCATACAAAAGACGTTCAGTGCACTCGTCTTTTGCATTGTCTGGATTTATTAACATCTGTAATTCCTCTTCTACCTTCTAAAGATGTTAAGTTGGCCTGTGAATGTATTCTCGAGTTATCCAACTTTCCTAATCCACTGGTGAGTGCGCCATCTTTTTTGTTCATAAGTGTTTAACATATTCTTTTATCTATACAAGGGTCAAGGGATGTGTACTGAGTCATTCAGGTGTATAGTGGGTTGCATCGAAATGAACTGAATAATTATTACAGTTAAACGAAAATAAGTTCCATTTAAAATTGAAACGAGTAAAGTTATCTCTTATTTATGTTATCATTGTTGTAGTGATGCAACTCATTAATATAGGCACTCGATTTCGAAGTAGTTAATCCTTGTTTCAAATCTCCTTCCATCAACTTTCGTTGGAGCAACCAAATAGTATTATAGAACGCCAAATAGTATGAGTTATAACCTGTACTGTACTAACAACTGCTATCTGTAGAGCTACTGTCCTCTTCACCAAATACTATGGATTTAATACTTTGTACAAGTATGTGTTTGATAAGTCAACAACGTTGGATGGTTTGGATTTATCACAATGTAATCCCTCTTCAAATAATCAATACACACTCGGTCGGCGATGTTTAAATCAAGAAGGAAATACAGTTCATACTGGTTTCTAATACCTTTTGGCGATTTTTGGTAACCATGGTTATCAGTAATCATAGATATGAATTCAACACTTTTTCAGTTGTGATCATTACATTTCATTTTGAAGGAATTTCAAACTATCCTGGTCACTTTATGTGCTTTATAGTATTAAGTACCAAAGACAGATTTTGACTAAACAAAAGCCAAACATCATATTTATCCCTGTATTTCCCAACATCTGGCATGTTGGCTAATATTTGGTACATCTGTACTCATTCAGCATATATATATATATATATATATATATATATATATATATATATATATATATATATATATATTGAGGTGCCTGTTATTCAAAGCCGAGCCTTATCTAACTTTATCTCAAATTGTTTCAATAAATTGTGTTTCTTTAATGAGCATTTCTGATTGTTATGCTATATTTTCCACATTTGCCAGGTTGTGACCAAAATGTTCCACAGTTTTAAAACAATGTTTGACTCAAAACCATCATTGAAAACCTTACCAATTGATATAGCTGCACGTCTGATAACTGCACTATATTCCTGCCGGCCAAATGATCCAAATGTATTTACATTATCTGATACTAATAATAATACTTCATGCACTGGAGTTGATGCAATAATCTCATGGATTCAAGCTCTTATATCAGGTTGTACATATTTATCTGGTTTGTCTATAATGGCTACAGAGAGTGATGATGCTGAGTTGAAACAAAAGATTGGTAATATTGGAAGATTTACTATACAACAGTTGGCTAGTGAACACTTAGATCGTCTAATTAAAACATTAATGTCATTGTTAACTTCTACACCAATTCCTCAATTGCGGGAAGCGACTACTCAAAAACTAAATCAACTTTTCATGGATGTTGCTGTAAGCTAGCTGATTTGTTGATTTCAAAATGTTATATATTTTTATTTTGTGTATTTTCAATCTTCATATGCTTACTGTTTAGTATTTTATTTGTAGAGATATTCAAGTTAGTTCATTTCCCTATTGTTAAATAAATATAAAAAGGCCAACTTGGATTAGTACGCTGTAATATGATAATCTATGCGTCGGTGGTTCAGTTGTAGAACACTGACAAACTACACATGTGGTCCAGGGTTCAATACCCGATCGACTCACTCCTTTACGTCGCTTAGCCAATAGCAAACCCGGTAAAGAGGAAGGCTGAGCGTAAGGCCAGCAACCCTATCCCTTAAAAACAACGTCACTGCTACTGGAAACTTCGAAGCTCGAAAACTGAAGCTCTATTTCCCACTGAGAACGCAAAGTAATGAAATATAAATATGTATATAATCTGTCTTATGTAGGAATTTTGGTTTACGACGTACATATAATGTAGTAGTTCATGTAATCGTCATCAGTGTCAACTGTAATTGATTCACCCTTTTTGTAGTGTGATCTCCAGTTCTCAAGTCTTTAAAAGCGCACATAACTGAAAGCTTCATTGTCAACCTGTCAGTGTTCAAAATTCTTGTTGTTGGAGTCCTACGGACTTGTATATACATCTAGTCTTCATACAGTAAGCATGCAGTCATTAGGTCGTACTTAGTGTTTCCTCACTTAATTAATCGAAGAAGAGCACCATTTGCTTAGAAGACGAGTTTGGCGAAGAAACACAATCGAAGAACACATCTTGCTACCACCAAAACTTAAATATTCCCCGTGTAGTGAATTTATGATAACTAATAATAATGTGTGGTCTCATTTTTTTCAACCTCTAGATATAGTGACTCCAAAAAGTACTTTTGAAGCCAGTTTTCGCGATTGGTTTTCCCATTTCCAGTGTGATCTTTTATCTTCTTGTTTACTTTGAATATTAGGATCCTCAGATAACATCCTGTCAACTAACTGAAATACTACCAGGCTTTATTTCTCATGTGTTATCCGGCTTCATAAACAGTCTTCAGTATACACATTATGAGATATGGCATCATTTGTTATCTCTTATTGAACGATTTATAATGATTTTCTCCAAAGTTTATGTTTCCGCCTCGATGACAGATTCAACTGCACTCATGGAATTATTGAAAGTTATCCTACATTTACGTGATTGTTTAGCCGATGGTCCCAAAGGCTTAATCAGTCTTATTCATGTTGATCCAAGCAGTTTTTCTCTAATGGGTTTAGATGATCTTGGTGAGAAAATTATCGACGGATTGGATAGTGTCTGTTTAATAACTATTGAGTACTTGGGGCCAGAATTACTTTCATCTGAAAGTGTATTCTCTTTGGAAACACTTGTCAAGGAATTGTAAGTTAATCCCTTTTATCTAGTATTCAGAAATTCATATGATCTTTGAGAGTGTAATATTAAGAAATTAACGACTAATTTACAGGGGAAACATGGTAGTTTATCCCATCGTATGATATATTGGTATCACAGATGAGTCAAACGATTACTCGTCAGTGTTCAACTGCACACAACAACTCTACATTCTTTTCTACAATATGGTTGAGATAAACCGTGTGCTTTTGGAAGTGCGTGGGCGGTTGTTACTTCCCGGCTGCTCACACCGTGGAAGTTGATTAATTCTTCAGGTACCTAAAACAGAAAGAGTGTTGCGTGGCCGCAGAGCCCTGGGGACAACTGGTAGAGGCCGGTCACACACGGCCTGTATGGACTGGTTTCGGGATTGGTTCCGTATTAGTAAACTTGCCGCCGGTTACGGACCACCTTAGGGTAAGTCGGGATGTACAATTTTTGGGGTCGACCTTTTTAAGCCCCTCTCTCCAGAGTGGAGAGACAGCATAGTTGGCTGGCATGCTGGTCATCTGAGGGAAACACCTCACTGTGGCTGTCACACCCCTGTTCCCCAGCAGTACGACTTCGCCCTCAGACCCCCAGCAAAGTGTAAAAAAAATTCTTACACAATGCCGCTAACTGCTTTTAGTCTAATCGCTATCCTAACAACCTTCCTGGCATGGTAGGTAGGACCTACAGGAAAATTGGTTACAACCAGTGTAGCTTGTTGGGTCATCGCGATGTGCAAGCCCGACCACCACGTTAAGGTTGCAGCTATCAGTCGGGTTGATATAAACCGAGAGATACTTACTTAAATACGATCAAAACGTTTTGGTCATCAATGTCCTTAATGTACTTTTTGTATTGAACGGAAAGGAAGTAATGTCGAGGTTGGTATTTAGATGAGAAGAATGTTTAAACTTGGCGGTGTGCTTTCTCAGTGTGGCAAATTAAAGTGATGCACGTGTATGCAAAGTTCTTTGTTGATGTGTTTGTGTGACTGTGGTTTTTCTGTCTATTAAAATTAGTTGGTCGTATTTTCCGCCTACTATGCAGAAATAATCTTCAATGCGGAGTGCTCAAGTGCTTTTTCATAAGAAATTCTTTGTTCCAGGAAGAATAACGAAACATTAAAAACTATCATAGATACAACCTTAAGTAATGGTAAAAACTTTTGTGACTGTCCCTCTCTGAAATTACACATTTAAATCTTGGCTAAAATAAATAATCATTGTGGTTTTTTTTTCGAATTTGAATAAGCTGACAAACTTTTTAAGTTCTCTTGTGTGTTACTGAAGCAACAGTAAGATCTGGTGTCTTCTGAAGAGATATTTTCAAGGATAAAGTTAGATGAGTAATAATTAATAAGAAAAATGCCACACCAACTTCAAATTCAATGCAGCTCAGGTTTATTTGTGTAAGCTAAACACAATACAGTCAATAATACCAACTCATTCTTGAGACCCATGCAAAATTTCAATATAGCAAAAATATTCATTCAGACATCTATAAAACACAAAATAATCGAGCAAAGAATATTCTTTTCGATAAATTCCTCTTCCAGCTCTACAATTACATATACATGTTTATATACACAGAATATTCTAGAATAGTAGTCAATAACAATATTAGTGTTCTTTAAACAGTATCGATATGTAAAGTATGGTCAGTGGAATTACAGTTCATTAAAGATGCTTAAATTATAATAATGCGTCAGATGGTACAGCGGTTAGGACGCTCGCCTACCATTCACATGGTCCGGGGTTCGATCCCGGCCGACGCAGTCCTTTACCTCGCTAAGCCAGAAATAATGCTGGCAAAGAGGGAAGGTTGGACATGGGGCTAGCAACCCCATCCTGCAAAAAAACACTGCCATAGAAACTTCAAGCCTCTAGCTTGAAGCCCTATGTTTCACTGGGAACGTGAAGGAAAAGAAATTATAATAATAATAAAGATATAGTAGCAAATAGAATATCAACTAAAATTAGGAAAATTCCACAGAAATTCAGGATCATTCAAACCTAGATGGCCAAAGTAAGGACAATGTCCGAAACAACTAGCTTCTTTTGGACGCAAAAATTAGGTTTCTTAATGTGGATCCCAACAGCCAGCCTCAGCAATATTTAGTAGTCGAACTCTTAAGGCCAAATTGAGATTTGTTGGTATGCGGTAAATGACCCTGAAAGCCTGGTTAACATCAATCTTGTGTTTTGTATCCACAAGATGAGATAGAACAGCGCTCCGAATAGATTTTGTTTGTTCTCTGCTTAACCATGCAGGTTGATGTTCCTAAATTCGACGAGAAACACGCCTAATTGTACGATCTATGTAACTGGATCCACTCTTGTGACTCATTCAGTATTTAATACTTATACCTCAAAACGTATAAATGGAATTCTTAGCTACCAATCTACCGATCAGAACACTAGTCTTATAGATTATCACGAGTTCGAAATGCCAAAGTGAACTATACATTTTGAAAATCTCTTGAAAACCAATGTATGAACACAAATCATTTGAGGAGTTTTTTCGACAGTTGATGTAGTTGTTTAGTTTTAATGTAAAACTATCGGTGATTTACACTGACATGCTGAGTCAAAGTGGCTGTACCTAAATGTATAGCAGTTGCATATTTTATGTTTGATCCCGAGATTACATCAGTTGGAGAACGATTGAAAAACCAAAGAGTACTGGTCAGCTGTTTCGTTCCAGTTTGGGACGCCTCAACAGTATGAATCCATGGGGGTTAGTACTTAGCATCTTCCGGTTACATGGATGGCTTGTAGACTATTCAGCCACTGGGATCCGATTTAGTAGCCAGCTCATGAATTCAAACCACCAGCAAATGTTACCGGTGAGTATTTGTCCTCACTCCTGACAGACTGAACCCCACTGGCCACGTCTTCTCACTAGAACTACGGTCAACTCCATCCAGTAGGCAGTCACGCTCAAGCATCGGACTAATTTTCAAGAAGTAGTTTGTAGCGATCACCATGTCACTGAAAGATGCTGCGTTCAAACTCTGATGGGTCCAAACTCCTGAAAATTCCCGAAATGGGACAAAATAGCTGTCCAGTACTCCTTGGCTTTTCAATGGTTCTCTCGTGATCAAACTGGAAATGAATCAAGTCCTTACGAACTCTCGAAAACTCCACATTTATCATTAATTGATTAGAAAGTAACTTTTCAAAAATTTTTTCTATAGGACTGTAACCCAACTGAAATGTTCTAGGATGAGGACTGTTTGATGCTTTCTGTCTTTCGGTGTTTATATAATAATTATCCATCTTTTGATAAAAGCTGTCTAAAGTCTGAAATTTTAAAAATGTTAATGTTTCTATTTCTATTTAACATTATTTGATTTGTAGAGAAGCCGGTAGTATTGATCTTCGAAGATCATGGTTCCTACCACTACTTTCACGAGCAGTTCCACAAAAACCATGTGCTTTATCTATCTTCAGTAAGCAAATTCTTCCACTAGCTGATAGAGGGCTTTCTGTAGCTAGTTCAACAGCTGCCATGAGTGATAAAACTAAACCTGCAAATAATGCATTGATCACTTTAGGGATTAAAGTGGCTTGTCAACTCTGGTCTGCATTGAATATGTTTGTACATCGTAGTCCAACCGATTGGTCTGAGCTGTCAACTGGTGGATTAGGCTCTCGTCTTGTCAAAGAATTTAATTCAGCTCCTGCTTTAAGACCAATCATTCTGCATGCATTTCGGAGATTAGCTAAACTGGCAGCTGGTGATGGTAAGTTTTGATGTATTAGCAAGGGATTTAATCCACGTCTTTCTTTGCCGTATATGTTTTGTATTTGTAGTATCAGAATTGATATTGTTCACTCCTATATGTTTTTATACGAACTAAGTCAGTGGTCACCAGAGAGCTGCTTTCATATTAATTACTAGTTATGAATGTCTGTTGGATTAATGAGTAAGGTTTGAAGTGAGGAGGTGCCTGGTCTGTCACATAATCTGATGGTGTTCTCGTGACTTTTGTTGTCAGACCTGCCAATAGTGATAGGATAGTGCGCGACCTAGTAGTTGTATGCAAAGTTTGAAGAAGGCTGTGTATTCTATGTGTATGCGCCTCGTCATGATAATATTTATAACATTTGTCAGCCTATGCCATCACTAGCGTCACATATATGATATCCGGCTATCGATCAAAGAACGTGTTCGCTCCATCCTCTTTTATGGTTGTGAAATATGGCCAGTGAAAGTTAAAGATATGAAGATAGCTATCTTCGATCATAAGTATCTCCGTTCTATCTTCCAAGCTTGGTGGTATAATAAGTTGATTAGCATTGAAGTTAGACGTAGTGTTAGGTAAGAAGAGAAAGTTAATAGATGAGGTTATGAAGGTGTAGATAGATTGAGATGGTCAGAACGTGTTTTATGCATGCGTAGCTATCGATCGCCTTCCTTGACAGGAAATAATGTTAATCCATACAGAATCAGGTTGGGAAAGAGCTATTGGTGGACAAACTAAAACCATGAAATCTTTCGACAGTAGGTTTAAGCCACGTAGGGGAGTGGTGTAGACTTCCTGACTGGTTGGGATCCTCATGGTTCTAAGAACCGATGGTTGGAGACAATTGGTGTGATATAGCTGGAAATCCTTCTCAACGGCTAGAGTAGATGCATTCACTCTCTGCGATTTGCCATATCCTTATTACTGTTCTTTCTCACTAACATTGCTGTTTACTGTAGTTATTTTGAATATTTCGTCTTCCTTTGTGTTCTACATAGAGTGTGGCATCCCGAACTGTTGTACTTCTGTGCAAAGTCTTATGTTGAATTCCGTCAGTTAGTCAATTTATAATTTTTCTTCTTGAAATGATTTGTTTTTTAGAACAAGACATAAGCGAGCAATATTGCTGTTTTCAATTAGATCTTCATCAGGCTTTACTCTAATTTACATAGATTTACATTTAAGAATTTTTAACCAATGACGGTGATTTTTGTGGATCAAATAATGATAATAATAAAACTGCTTCCTATTTTCGCTATGTTGATGATACATTTATTATTCTTAGTGTGAAACCTGACAAGAATGAAATGTTAATAAAATTCAATGATGCACATCCATCGCTCATCTTCACTTGTGAAGAAGAACATAATGGTAGACTACATTTCCTTGACGTCCAACTGAGCAGAAGAGAGGATGATTCACTCAAAAGGGAGATGTCTATAGAAAACCTACATCTGTAGGACAATATACACATTTCCTCAGTTTTGCACCAATCCGATACAAAGTCAATTTGGTCAGATGCCTCACGAACAGAGCAAGACGTATCTGTACAGTTGACTCCCTACAAAATGAGTTAGGATACATCCAAAAGATGCTGGACCAAATGGGTTTTCCTAGTAGGTTTGTAAGGAGACACACGAACACCAGGTACAACGTCGTCTTCGGTGGTTTGGCCATGTTCTGCGCCGACCAGATGACGATCTGGTTAAATCAGTTCTAAATCCCTCGCCATTTCCATCTTGGCGATGTCGCAGGGGTGGACAGCTGAAAACATGGCTTGGTACAGTCAAGGCTGATATGGAGTGCCTGGGGCTACAAACCGTCTACGGACTCCGTCTGTGGAACAAGAATTGGATAACCCTGTCGCAAAACCTTGCATTAGATCGCCGCGCCTGGGCAACGATGATTCGAGATGTTCATGAAGCCGGCTCATCCTCCCGTAGGAGATAGCCGAAGTAAATAAATAATAAATAGCAAAGTCTTACATCTGAGATTATCGAGAGCGATAACACGGACTTATACTGCCGCCACCCTTTGTTTGTTATTTTCCAGCCGGCCAATTATGATTGCTCAAGTGAAAGACAAGCTTCCTAGCTGTGCTACTTCTATGTGTATCTATAAATTTAGTTGCTCCTGTGGAGAGAGCTATATAGGGCGAACAACTAGAGAGCTTAACAAACGCATTAATGAGCATCTCTCTTCATGGTTCGTAAAAGGTCAAATAAAATCCATACGAAATTCTATTTTGGCTCATTTGATTGATGATAGCGGTCACCAAGTGGACCAAAATAGTGCCTTCAAAGTTATCTATCGCATTCCACCGAGCCTTTCGAACGGAATTCGAATCTGTCTTTTACACATAGCCGAAGCTATAGGAATTAATTCGAGAGAACAATCCTAGTCTTTGCATACAAAATAAGTTTGTTCTACCTGTGTCTCTCACTTGGCCTGGCTAAATTCTAATCAACCCCCCCCCCAGCGTTTTTTTGTTTTTCCATTTCCTTCGTACTTTTATGATATGTATTTAAACTCTGAATATCTGTCCACTTCAGCTTTAGTATCACGTAACCTTTTAGATTTGACATAATTTATTTATTTATTGAATTGTCTACATATACACGTATATGCATTTACTATCTTTGTCATTCTTATCGCCCCACCTGTATAAACCTTATTATCATGAATTCTGTTATCATTATAATCATCGTTATTAACAATGTTCAAAACATTTACAACATTATTATTATTTGATCCACAAAATCAGTCATTGGTTAAAAAATTCTTATATATAAGTCTATGTAAATTGGAGTAGATCCTGAAGAAGATCTAATTGAAAACAACAGTATTGTTCGCTTATATGTCTTGTTCTAATATTAAAAATGGGAATATTTAAAGATTTGTTTTTTTAACAGACTTTGATTCACGCGATGAAATTGACCTTCAATCCAGGATATTCAATGATTCTTTCTCATAATGTTTCCTTTTTTTGCGCTTTTCTGTAGACTCCGCAACTACTATTATGCGTGGTGGAGCAAAGATGGCACTACCAGCTATGCTATCACTCTATGAGACTTTAGATACAACTACACAATATTCAATGAAACAGAAAATTCAAGCAACATTATCATATTACCTACCGATTATGTCGTCTAAGGTAAGTATTAGATATTTATTGTTTTAATATAGGAATATTTTTGAAGGGACTGAAGTTGATGAGAGTACGTCTCATTTGTTTTTTTCTTTTTTTTACTGTGTACATTATTCAGACATTTTAAATAACAGATGGGCGTCATTATAAGTCTGCAAATCGGTAGATGTTACGAAACGTTACTAACACAGCCAGCACCTTAGAAATGCAGTAACAAGAGCATTCCCTGCTGCTGCCGAATTACGCTTTGTCTTCAAAACCACTCCTTTTTTTGCGTTCGAGAGTAAAAGATAAACTGCCTAATTTCGCCTCTTCCATGTGTGTGTGTGTGTGTGTATCTACTAATTTGACTGCTCCTGTGGAGTGGGCCAGTTAGTTACATAGGCCGTACAATTAGGTGTGTTTCTCGTTGAATTTCCGAACATCACCCTGCATTGTTGGTTTAGTGAAGGACAAACAAAATCTATTCGTAGCGCCATTCTACCTCATCTTGTGGATACAGAACACAAGATTGATATCAACGAGGTGGCTTTCAGAGTCATTTACCGCATGCCTACGAATCTCAATTTCGCCCTAAGAGTTTGACTTCTAAATATTGCTGGGGCTGGCTGTTGGGATCCATATTAATTATAGAGCTGGAAGAGGAAATTATCGAAAAGGATATTCCTTGCTCAATTATTTTGTGTTTTATAAATCTTGTTTTGATTTTTTTTCTTAAACACGCTGGGATTGCTTTAAAAATAATTGATGAAGATTGACACCATTTTTATTACGTATATTCCTGTGGCTTCAATGGCATGTTGTTTTTCTTCTGAGACAACTTTCGCAATGAAACACTTAGCTAAAATTTCAGCATCCAACACGTAAACATTACCAACTCACAGGTATTCCCAACATATTCCAGAAAAGTCTTTCAGATCTGTCAGTGCGATAAAGAATGGGGGATTACCATTGGATTTACAGTTAGAGAAGTCATTAAGTGTTGGTTTACGGGGTTTTTGGTTGGCTACAGTATCCATCACCAGCTGACATTAATTAGAGAACTTCATGCATTTATTCCCCTTAATGAATTTGAATAAAGCATAAACAACAGTGGTGGTTTGTGTAGAATAATATGGTACCATCATTTGTTTCGTCGCCTTCTCATCAACCGCTTACAGCCTAAATAAATTATGGGGTTTACGTACAGAAAAGTTTTAACATACTTACAAATTTTACATGTTGTCAGCTGACGAAAAGTTCCACAATAAGGGAACAGTGCTCAGAAAATTGCGCTTATATAGTTTTTACACAGGTAGTTCAAGTTTAAAAAAAAATAAATAAATGTATGCATATAATGGTAAAGGAGTTAAATAATAAAGATGAGATGTGCGTCAGATGCATAATGACTAATAAGTTAGATAACAATGTACTGAGTTGAACTCAAATCATAGAAACAAAGGACAAGCGAAATTACAGATTATAAAAGGAGGGTGAGGTTAAAGACAAAGATTACGTAATCAGATGCGAGAATAAAGATATTCAGTTACCAGGGTAAGGAAAGACTAATAACTGCTTCTTTCTGAACACAAATCTGGTTTCAAGAGTTTGATAGAAATTGCTTCGATAAACTTGAAGAGGATGGAACTCCTCTGTCTATTGATAATTTTAAGGGATTTCTCGATTTCCACCTCTTGACTCGTGTCAAGATATCTTATAATAGCGCTACTATAAGAGTTTGTTCCCTTGAGGCATAGGTCTTTTCGGCACATGTTCAGAAAATCGGAGATGTGCCCTTCTTTCTGTTCTCCCAATGTAACTGCTCCCGCAGATACACATAAATTTGTATACACAATTGGAGTTAACATGAGAAGGGTATCTATCGACTTTTGACTGCACCAAAGACCATGTTGTTCGAAGGACGGGGATCAACTTAGCTGCAGGATAGGCTCTGACTAGTGAGGTTCTCAGTCTCCTGTTGACGATTTCTGCAATGTTTTCACCTTTAAAATCTAGCTGAATGAAGACAGGCTTTTTTTCAACTGTGATTTGTTTGGTATTTGAGCCTTCATATCTCCCATATTTGTTGATGAATATTTGAGGATAACCGTTGTTTTTCAACACTTTTCCGAGAATCGTAAATAGTTTTTGCCCAAATAGCTATAAACGATCACTACTCAAGACTCTGTACTATAGAGCGAGGAGAATATGCTCTGCAGAGAAACTAGAGGAAGAATTTACGATTGTCGTCAGCGATCAACCCACTCGTGTTGAACTGGTACAACTTCCCAAATAAGTGAAGTGGTCAGCACACTCCACTAACCACTTCACTACCTTTCTTTAAGCTAGGAGTAGTGGATGTAGTCCAGTCCTGCAGCATCATCTTACACTTCACAAGAGTGAATTGCATGCCAAACATTCGAAGATTGCTGCTCCTCAAGATGTTCAGAAGACTCTGCCTTGAGAAGGGAGTGGTGTACCTATGTGTAAACATAAAAGTGATAAAACTGTTTTCTGGAGTATTCTACGCACATACTAAACGTATTTTACCTGGTGTAGGCATCCTAGTCTTGCATTAAAATAACCCACCAGGTGAACCAAGTGTCATCACAAGAAACTTTTTGAATCGAGTAATTATATTTCTAGTTAAAATCACCCTTCACGACTTAAAAAAACTTACTGTAAACGTTTACCAGGCATCACTGGCATAAATCACAATTGTGGGTTTTATAAATACTTTAACCAATTAAAATTTATTTCTCTTACCTTCAGATCATCTGCTCAGTGACAAAAACTGCTATGAACAAGTTCGACAATACAAATCAGTAAGTGATATTTAAATATATTAGACTTGTAAAGTTTCAATCAGTTTCACCTTAAAAAAGAACCATTGAAAATCAATGGCTGCTAAACATCTGTTTCACTGAAGTGTAGAACTAGTCGCCAGTGTGCTCATATAACCCGTTTACCGTGTAATCTAGCAATCTTGGATACAACCTCTTGAGAAATCATAGATGCACACTGATGACGAGTCCCAAGGCGAGACGAAACGACTGTACATGGTTATCAGACCTCTAGGTTGTTGTCATAGAGTTTATTTTTTTTACATTCTTAATCACATATCTTTTTTTCTGACGTTCTCATTTCAGACCTATCTATCTGGAAATATTCCATATTATAGCGCCTTATAATTCTGTCAGTGATTTGGAAGTGATCGTTGCAAGAATTAATGATTATCTGACTGTAAGTATACATATATATTTGAGTTTAGATTTAAGTAGGCTGGTTTTATTTTTTTCTATCACAGAATTACGCAACAATGTTTACTGGTAAGTTATTATATCTTCTGGAGGAGGTTTAAATTAACTAGCTCAAGTTGTTTAGATTTTGATGATCAATAGTGTTGGGAAGTTTTGCTGGAATGTTTTAAGACGCATCACAATTGACTTAATATATGGACACTTTGCTAAGTTTTATTCCAGTCAGTGTATCTCATTTCGAATTTGAAATTGTGTTAAAGAAGAAAATAAATATAATCTTTTTGACTGGACACTAGTTAGCAACTAGGGTAATGTAATGTGTACCTAGTCCTCTGTTTGGTGCAGACTGAATTCTATCCATCAGGTTTGCAATATATCCAGCATTCTCGTTAACCTATTGTTTTCAGTCACCTAATATCAACAATTCAAAGCGCACCGCGTTGGTGAGCCATCTAGTGGCATGGTAGCTACATTGCAAACTTGAGTGAACGAATTCAGTCTGTCTGTCTGTTTTCGACATAAAACTTTGCACATATGTGCGGCAGTTCGAGTTGCCACACTCCCTCCATGTAGCACACAAAGCAAGAGAAGAAGGTAGAAGAAATGCATAATAGAGACAGTAAACGGAGGTATGAGACAAAGGAATAGTAATAACGAAGAACAAAGTAGTTTCGTTGGAAATCATAAGTTACAAGGAGTGGATGCATCTGCGCCAGCCATTGAGAACGATTTTGAGCCATATCACCAATTGTTTCCAACCATTGGTTTTTACCGTCGCGAGGACCCCAACCAGGAAGTATACACCTTCCTACGTCACTGGTTTAAACTAACTGTTGTGGATTTCATTGACTGGTGCCATGTTTTGGTTTGACCGCCACTAGCTCTTTTCCAGCCCGACCCTATGTCAGCTAACATTGATTATCGAGGAAGGCGATGACTAGGCATACGTAACACATGTCCTAACCATCTCAGTCGGTGTAACTTCAAAGCCTTGTCGATTGATTTCCCCTCCTTACCTAGCACTTGACCAATGCCTAACCTCAATATTGCTCACCTTATTATACCACTTCACATGGGAGATAGAGCGCAGGCACATATGATCAAAGACAGCTAATCTTTTCATATCTTCCATGGAAGAGTCTTTTGTATCCGTGCTGGGATTTCGTCAGAGATCAACCCGCTCGCATTGACTGATGCAACTTCCCCAATAAGTGAAGTGGTCAACACACTCCACTAACCACTTCACTCCTTATTTCTAAACTAAGAGTCAGTGTAGTCCAGTCCTGTAACATCATCTTACATTTGGCGGGAGCGAATCGCATGCCAAGCATTCGTAGATTGCAGCTCAAGGTGTTCAGGAGACTCTGCATTTTGTCAGGGTCTTCGCCTAGAAGGACTATATCGTCTGCATATTCTAAGTCAACAAGATTATTACCTGGTAGCATTCAGTCTGCACCAAACCGAGGAATAGACACAGTACACTAGTTACTGACTAGTGTCCAATCAAAAGTGTTCAAGATCGATATTGATACAAAGTCTATCAACAAATGCTTTACAAGAAATGTAGTGTACTTTTATTTGTACTCTTTCATCTTCTTCTTCCAACCTGTACACGATTGAATCACTCGCACCTTCGAGTTGTCCGCCAATGGCGACCAAGGTCAACGAACCAACGTTCAATGTTCACGTTCATTTACACCTTTTTTAGGACGAGTGCCTGAGTAGTTTGTTTTAAAAAGATTCCTGCATTGTATATACAATTGTATAGAGTTGCTTGACACCGTTCATTGTCTGTTAATGAACTAAACCTAAATACATCTATAAAAATGTATGTATACATTACATTCGAAAATCTATTTTGTCATATATATCAATATAGCAAAAAATTTATCACCCTTTTATTGTATAACATAAGTGTTATCTATCTTCACATTTTTTTTCATATATTTGCTTAGTTGGAACAATTGTCAAAACCGTTGAAAAAACGTGCATGTCGTGTTTTAGAAAGTATATGTTCTGGAGTGACTAGTCAAACTGATGAATTCTTAACTTCAAATTTGGATAATATTATCTTGCTAGTTTGTGGTTTAACAAAGAGACTAGTAAATAAATCGTCGGAGAAGTCAACAGCGACAGTAACAACAACCGCTCCTACTTCTGTGGCAGAAACACTGACGACAACAATAAATAATGATGATAATACTGAATCGATAGAGAAAAAAATGACTAAATTATCCGTATGTGGAATAAAACTGGATCAATCATCAAATAAAACCGCTAAATATTTTATCCCATGGAAACCTCTTCTACAATGTATTCATCATTTATTTAAACGTTTAGTTACTTGTGAGTTAAATACAGCTAATAGGATGAATTCCGATGAGACTATGGATAAGGGGGATTTAATGGAGAATGAACGTTTAAAAAAGTTTGCTAATATGTTCTTCCCTGAGGTAGGTTTTTATATTCATATTTATGCATTCAGTATTTATTCCTTAACGCGTTCCCAGTGGAATATAGGGACTTCAAGCTAGAGCTTTAAAGGTTTCTCTGGCAGTGGTTGTTTGTTTTTACGGGATGAGGTTGCTAGCCTGTCTGACGACCAACCTTCCCCTCTTTACTAGTCTTATTACTGGCTTAGTGAGGTAAACGAGTGCGTCGGGCGGGAATCGAACCCTAGACCACATGCGTGATTGACGGGCACCCTATGGCTGTGCTACCGACGCTCTACTTATTAGAAGTAACATTGAATTCTAAAATATCCTAGAGCTTTCCGGTAAATCGTTAAACATAATGCATAATAGTTCTGTTGCTGGAGATAGAATTCGCTTGGCAAAATTTGCGATGAAATGAATCCTCTAGTCTGACTTTGTAAGGGCAAAATGATAGATGCCGAATATGTGGAAAATCACAGCTTCAGAATCTGTTTGTCATCGCATATCTCTGCACTTATTGAAACAGGAACGAAAACTAAAATTTGAATGTGGTCAGTCTGTTATAGGAAAAGACAGTAGGTTTGGTAACGGAATGTTTATTTGCAATTTGACGCGCTCACATAAGGAAATCATGTATACCAAATGTTGACATTGTCATTTGCACAGATCTTCCGTCTTCTGCCATTCTCATCGTATGTTTTTTGTGTCTTCCTTGTTTTACTGCAATGCCAGTCCATTTCCTCTCTTTGAGGTCAAGTCAATTACTCTGCTATTTGATGTTTTTATGCCGACGAATGTCTCTTTATATACTATCGATAAATCTTGTCAGTAGCACATGCTACAAGTCTAACACTGTATATTTCGGTGTCACTGTTATGTTAAAAAGCATAAATTTAGTACATTATGGGCACCAAGATATACTCCACACAAAATGGTATAGTTTATGTGAGGACTGGGATACTAACTGTGAACAACGTTCAGACTGAAACGTGTGGTTGGCTTGAGCGACTACTCTTGGGCCTTATGACTTTGGAGTCTGACCCACAAGGCGATGCAGTCGCGTCATGGTCTGCAATGACCAAAACAGGTATATACATCATTCGATTCTTCCTAGTTCTAGAGTGCATAGACACCGTAGGTTTGAAATCAGGGTTTCGCAGCTCCCTTAGGTGGTAGACCTAGATGTCCATCAGTCCAGTTGTAAGCAGCAAACTTTTGCATTCGGCATTTCACTTTTGTGAGTCACACCCCTACCGTGTGAAGATAAGTGAGTAGGAATACTGTTGAAAGTTTAAGTTTAATTTGCCCCCCCCCACACACACACATTTCTGTAGGGCATATCAGGCGAAGAGTTTGACTAGGGTGGTTACGCTATCGTCCTCTGTGGATTTATAGTGAACGGAAAAAAAGCTAACTAGATTTTGACATTCTCTACGAATGGAAGCAAGAAAATTGAATGTTGTTTTAGACATTTGAAACAAAAGGAATCAGAACAGTTACAACAAAATATGGCTTCAAAGAGTTGAAAATACTGATCGTCCCTGTTACTGAGATACAGAATTCCCTGACCTCTGACTAACTGACTGACTGGTCTCAATATAGAACTTTGCACAGATGTGCAACAGTTCCAGTAGCTACACTCACTCCATGTAGCACACAAAGCAAGAGAAGAGGTTCAAAGGAGAAATAATGAACAGAAGTGTGTGCGAGGGAAATAGAATAGTAATAAGGAATAACAATAGAATTGGATATTATAAATCAAAAGGAGTAAATGCATCTGCACCAGCCATTGAGAACAATTTTGAGCCGTATCACCGATTTTCTCCAGCTATTTGTTCATAGAATCCCCGAGGACCCTAATCATGAAGTCTGCATCTCCCTACGTGACACAAACCAACTGTCAAAAGATTTAATTGACTGATGCAGTCATATTTCAGTTTGACCTCAACTGGCTCCTTTCCAACATGATCTTTCTTATGTCAGCGGCTAACACTGCCCATCGAGGAAGGTGATCGATGGCTAGGCATGCGTAACACCTGTTCTAGCCAACTCAACTGATGTATCTTCACAACCTAATCGATTCACCTTCCCTCCTTATCTAACACTCTACGCCTAGCCTCAGTATTACTCACCCTGTTATGCCACCTAACATGGGAGATAGAATGCAGACATCTATGATCAAAGACAACTAACCTTTTTCTATCTCCCACTTTCATTAGTCATGTCTTATATCCATAAAGGAGGACGGAGTAAACTGGTGAGCATTACACACGTTCTTTGGCCGAAAGCCGGATATCATGTCAACGCCAGATGTGGTGTAACTTGGCAAATGCCAAACGAGCCTTCTCTATCCCTGCTGAGATCTCGTCAGCGATCAACCCGCTGGCGTTGGCTGAAATGATCAACATGCTCTACCACTTACTGGGTTCTGGATTACCCATCCACTAGGGACAAATGTGAGGTGTATATTATCGACTATAGACAAATATGGTATTCTGACACAAATTATGCTTTTCATGCATCAGTACAATACACTGTATATATATATATATATTGAGCAAAATTTGTGCTAAATGCTTTCGTTTCAAATTATCTGTCTCATTTTAGATCCTAACATGTATGCTCGATTTGAATCGTACAATACGAGATTTAGCTGGCCGTCTATTAATTGGTCTTGTGAATGCTTTTGCTGGCCAGCAACCATTTGATAAAAATATTAATTCGCTATCATTGTTATATGGATCACGGAATAATTTAAACTTTGATGCGAATAGTTCTCGTCCACCGACAATTATGAAAGGCATAATGAAGGATTCAGATAGTGAGGATGATGATAATGATAATGGGAATGAAAGTGGTCGACAAGATGGCAAATCTGCGATGTCATTAGGAGGGTTAACATGTTCCGATGACGATGATGACGACGATATTGTTTCAACTAAGTCTATGCAACGTGGCAGTGTAATATCTGAACGGGTAAGCGTATGTATACTCACTTTTAATCTATGTGCGAAAACGTAGACATTGCGGTAGTACGTGTGTTTTTTAATTCCTTTACGTTCCAACTGGAGCTTTGCAGTCTCTGTATCTGTGGTTTTATTTTCAGACTATGGGTCGCTAGCCTTACACCAAACTTTACCTTTCCACTGGTCTTTCTACCGACGAAGAGAGGTCCAGGAGTGCATCGGTCGGGGATCGGATCCCGGACCACCACGTGCAGTGTGGTTGCCGTGCATTCTACTGTTGAACCACTAACGATGCATTGGTAGTACGTTATTCCATATCAATTCGTTTATTGTGGATGTATCTCACAGGGAAACAGTATCATCTCGTGGATGATGTTTCGAGCAGTCATTATGATTATGAACCACAAATTATTTTCAAAATATCATCCAGTAACTAATATATCCAAGAAACAGCTTAGTATGGATTTATACACCCACTTCTCTTCCTGTTAGTTCCAAGTCTAAATGGGCCATTAAAGAGACAAGTGTCGCGACATTATATCATTTCATAGTTTCTTTACGATCACTTTACAACTAGCCTGGTTCACTACAATAAAATAAAATGTATGACGATTACTGAGTCATATTAAATGAAATTACGTACTAACAACCAATCAATCATTTTATTAGGTCAGGCAGGTCATACATAGTAAGCAAAAAGTTAAAGTGCATTGTTTTCTGTACACCTTTGATAACATTGAAATAATCTTTAAATATTCCCATTTATAATATTAGAACAAGACATATAAGCGAACAATATTGTTTTCAATTAGATCTTCTTCAGGCTTTACTCTAATTTACATAGACTTATATATATAAAATTTTAACCAATGACGGTGATTTAGTGGATCAAATAATAATAGTAATCATAATAATAATAGTAATAATAATGTGGTCTATGTAAATTAGAGTAAAGCCTGAAGAAGATCTAATTGAAAACAATATTGTTCGCTTATATGTCTTGTTCTAATATTATAAATGGGAATATTTAAAGATTTGAAATCACGTGTGGATCCCAGTGCATTAAAGGCACTCAATGAGTACTTGAAGTATAATGCCAGACTCACGGAAGCGAAAATTTGTTTAGATTTTATAAATGACTGTTTAAATAACATTGAAATAATTGAGAAGCCGTCATTAATATTGATTTTGTGCTCTGTAATGGATGATGATGGATTTCTTTTCAGATTAAGTACTTTTGGCTTTTCTATGTGACTTAAGAACACTTTGGGAACATATTCTTTCTGGTGACATTGGGACATTTTATCAGTTCTACATGTATGTATGTCACCGCAGTTACAGGTAAACTTGTAGATACAGTATGAAGTAGAGTCCACAGAACTTCGCCCTTTAATCGTAGATACAGGAATTAAAAATGTTCGAGATGTCAGAAAAAGGGATGTGGCGCGTAGAATTAGCGCTTGTTAGCTGACTGAGGCTTATAAGCTGCCAGTTGCACGATTCGATTACCCTCAAATAGTAGTTTAACAAATCTGTCTTGGTACAGAAGCTGTCTCCTCAATGGACGGTCTCTAGTCAAATTTTACGTACCCTGGAAAATCAGCATTTCACTAAGTTGATGTGTGCACTGGATTGAAACAAAACTTGTGAAATGAAGATATTACCCACTCCGTATTCCCTTGCAAAATTTTGACTGCACAATTGTTCCATTAAAAAATATGCAGGAAATCCAGTTTGTTATTTAATTTGAATTCTGAAGTTACTCGAATATTTAGGTGTATATTATTAAACTGAGTAACGAAGTTGTTAATCGACTCTTTATTGTTATTATTATTATTGTTGTTCCCTTGGGTTCCTAGTGGAACATAGGGCTTCAACTGCATGTCTCCACTTGCTTCTGTCTTCCTTTTGCTGTACTTTTCACCTGCATCCATGTCAGCCCATACTGTCTCAACTCCTCTTCACACGATCTCCATGTCACCCTTGGACGTCCCACACGCCGCTTCCCTTTCAGCCTGGTTCCACTTGAGCAATGGCCTGACGCGCGAGCGATGTCACCCAGCGGCCTCCTCAGCCACAAGTGTCCAATCCATCTCCACTTTCTCTGCATATATGTTGGTTGGCGATTGGTTCTTGTTTTGTTTTTCTGTTCCCATAGTTCCTTGTTGGTGATTCTTTCCGGCCCGGCCACCTGATCTTCAGTATAGAACCAGCGAAGACAGTTGTTGATAAAGGTATGGTCTGCAACAGGCTGTTGGAAATATTCTTTGTGACCCACCCACCAAGTTTCTGACCCGTATAGAAGAACTGACTGACTTGACCACAGTACTCGAGTAATTTCCGAATTACTTCACGATCAACGCTGTCGAAGGCCTTCTCAAAGTCTATAAAGTTGAGGTAGAGGTTTGATCGCCATTCCATGCTTTGTTCTGTGATGATGATGCGTAGAGTTGCAATTTGGTCAGTACATGATTTGCCTTTCCTGAATCCAGCTTGTTCTGGTCGGAGTTCTGTCTCCAGTGCGTCCTTTAATCTCTCCAGGATGATGCGACTCAGGATTTTACTTGGCGTCGATAGGAGCATGATTCCTCGCCAGTTCTTGCAGAGCCCTAAGTCGCCCTTCTTTGGTAGTTTCACGAGGTAACCTTTCCTCCAGTCAGTAGGCACCTTTCCCTCCTTCCAGACCTTTTGCAATAATGGAGTCAGCATGTCTGCTGTCGTCTCTGGGTCCGCTTTCAGTGCTTCAGGGGGTATTCCATCTGGTCCGGCTGCTTTTCCAGCTTTCAGAAGCTTGATTGCGTTCAAGACTTCAGCTCTCGTTGGAGGATTGGTGTCAACTTGCAGTTGTGTGCGCGCTGTTGTTGGTATTTCTGGACGGGTTGCAGGTGATGGTCGGTTCAAGAGTCCTTTGAAGTGATCCGCCCATTGTTTAATCTGTTTTTCTTCCTTGGTAATGGGCTTCCCTTGGCTGTCTTTTATAGGTTTCGCTTGTGTTGATCTCTTCCCGGATAGAGATTTGGTTATCTGATATAGTGTCCTCAGGTCCCTTTTGCCTGCTGCCTTTTCAGCTTCAGTGGCGAGGTTGTCGTAGAATCGTCTTTTGTCCTTCCTAGCACTCTTCTTCACTTCTTTGTCCAGTGCTGTGTAAGTTGAGCTCAGCGTCTCCTTCTCCTGTCCGTCCTTGCATTGAATCATTTTCTCTTTCACCATTCTCCTCTCTTCTATTAATTTCCAAGTGTCCGTTGAGAGCCATTCCTTGTCTTGTCTCTTCTTTCTTCCTAGAACCGTTGAACACGTTTCGTTGAGAATCGCCTTCAGAGACTTCCAATGTTCTTCCACGCATGATTCTTCAGTGATGTCGCGTAGTGTTTCCTGCTTTGCTCTGACAGTTGCAGTGAAAGTGTCTTTTGTGGTTGTGTCCTTCAGTAATTGAGTGTTGAACTTGCATTGTGGCCTATCCCCAGCTATCCTCGAGGCTTTTAGTTTCACCTTGAAAGTCCCTTGTACTAGATAGTGGTCTGAACCCACATCTGCTCCTCTCCTTGACCTTGTGTCCAGTAGGCTCCGTCTCCACTTTCTTGAAATTGAGATGAAGTCTATTTGGTTCTTGGTGTTTCCATCTGGTGAAATCCATGTCGTCTTGTGTATATCCTTGTGTTTGAACACACTACCACCAATCACCAAATCATTGAAGGCGCAGAAGTCTGAGAAGAGTTCACCATTGTCGTTCATTTCGCCGAGGGCCTCACGACCCATGGTGAGTTCTCTTCCTGTGTTGTCTCCTCCCAGCTTCGCATTCATGTCGCCCATCAGGATTTTGATATCGCCATTTGGGACGTTGTCCATTATTGCTTGTAGTTGTCTGTAGAACGCCTCCTTCTTCTCTTGTTCTGAGACGTTTGTAGGCGCATAGCATTGAATGACTGTAACTTTCCTTCCTTTTGAGTTGAACCTGGCTGTCATTATCCTGGAGGAGATTGGTTCCCACTGCATGAGAGCTTTGGCTGCTGTTGGTGACATCATGATGGCCACTCCCTCGGTGTGCTCGTGGTTGTCCTCTGGGTGGCCGGAAAAGATTACTGTCTCTCCAGTAGGTAGTTGGCACCTTCCAGTTCCGTTCCATCTGCTTTCGCAGATTCCCAACACTTCTATTCTGTACCTTCTCATTTCAGCGGCTATCTGGGCAGCCTTTCCAGTTTCGTACATTGTACGAACATTCCAGGTACCCATCCTTACTTTTGCTTTCATCGAAAGAAGGCACATCGGCTGACTGGCTTCCCGAAGGCTTTCACCAGCCTGCGTCATTTCACTTCCCCGATTCCAGCGAAAAGTAAGGCTATTGCTTATGTTTTTAGAATTTTTAATATATTTGTTCATTGAAGTTTCTGTAGCGATTTGGTTGTTTTACAGGGGTGGAGTTGCTAGCACCACGCCCCAACCCTCCCTCTTTACCCGGGCTTGGGACCGGTTAGAAAACTAGTAAGCTAGTAGCCTAGCAAGCTAGTAATCTGGCATTTCGTCCATATCCAACGTTTATAAAAGCGTAAAGTTTGATAGCAATTTTTCGATTTTTTCTCCGATTTCTACATAAATATATCTGAAAACAGGGGCCCTAAAAGAACTTCCCATTGTGCGTCGGTGGCACAGCGGATAGGACTTTCGCCAACCATGCACATGGTTCAGGGTTGTATTCCATTGTCTGTAATTCAATCGCAAGTGAAATCAACAGTCTGGTGAAGTGAAACATTGGTGAACAAACATCCTATGTCGATTAAGGACATAACCTTAATTAATTAATTATATAATACAGGAATAAACGAAGTAGAGGAAAACTTAGGTCTTGTAGTATTTCGTCTTTTTAACTCTAAGGTAATAAACATGCCCAAGCGTTTAGAATGTAATTATACTGGGGTAAAAACAGTCCTACATATCAGAGAATAGTCATATATATATATATATATATATATATATAATTGGTGGATGATGACTAGCAATGGAATCCGGGATGCGCATCTCGTCCTATTTGGGACTCGTCAACTGGATGTACCTGCATTTCCCAGTGAGTGATGATGTTCTCACTGAGGCTCGAACCTTGTGCCCATAGTTTCAAATGCCAAAGCATTATCCACTAGACCACTTGAGCCACGAGTGCACTGGTTTCGAGTCTCGGTGGGAACACCATCACTCTCACTGGGGAATGCAGGTACATCCAGCTGACGAGTCCCAAATAGGACGAAATGCGCATCCTGGATTCCACTGCTAGTCACCATTCACCAATTAAATTCTAATTAAATGCCCAAACATCGTCGAAACATCTGCAGAAAAAGCCGACATGTCAATCTGAGACCGAGCAATTCGGTCCAATCAATAGACGGGAAAGTCTAAAATTCAATTAAGTCATATATATAGACTAGGATAATCGGCTTTCAACAAAATGTCGTGTACTTCTCGAAGCAGACATAGAAGAAATATTATAAGGAGTAGGCCTGAGTTTCAGATCAGACGGTGGGGCACTGCATCATGCGATCTACCATCAATTACTATTTAATTTGAAGATACCGCACGAAGTAAAAACACTAAGCAATATATTCTACTAAGAATTCTGTACATTCCTTATAAACACTGTCTCGAATAAAGCTATTATTATTTTTCATGAATTAGTTTATAGGGATTAGATTTGTTTCAGGTTTTACCACAGATTGGTGTCAGTTAGAGAACCACTGATAACCAGCTTTTGGAGTACTGACTGGCTGTTTCGTCCTTATTTGGGACTCTTCAAAAGTTTGCCTAAAATATCTATTTTTGTGAACAAAAAACAAGTGTCACTTATCTCATACGATTGGTTTCTTTGTGTAGTATAAAATGGGTTCTTATCACTCACACAACAATGATTGTACATATTTGTAGTAGATAAGTTCGAGTCAATCATTTGATTATATGCGTGTTATTAAATGCATAAATTTTCCCCTTCCCCAATTTGATCAAATTTAGTGAATGTTCTGTTTTTCTTTGTTTCTTTCATGTCTTCGTAGATATGTCGTGCTTTAAATCTAGTCCTATCACGTTTATGGCCATGTCTTCCACCGCATAATCGTTCTGCTGAAAATTCAATCGATTTAGCCTTACAACAATCATCAGCTCGTGCTATCTGTCTACTTATGAAGCATACACGTTTTAGACAAGCACTCGTGCTAAATATCGATTCAGAATCAGAAGAAATTTGTCAATTAGTTTCTATTATACTATCTGAAATGAATTTAATTAGTCAAAATTTAGTGAAATCTCCTCAACGTGTATTAATTCGTTTAGGCTTACAATTATCACGTTCACTTATTGCCTTTATTCAAGAAGGTTGTATCAGTTTAGCTTCTGTGGTAAGTTAAAGAATGTGTGTGTGTTCATTTTCCGTGTCTCTATTACCTTTTTTTAGTGTGTTCATTTCTATATACCTCCTTTCTGTTCTGCCTTTGCTAACCATGCTGGATATATAGTGTTCGCGAGCGCGTTTTAGAAGCGGACGCATAGTATGGCTGCTGTACCCGGCTCCGCACGAGCAAGTTATTTTGTATAGGCCTATTGAAGTGGCCCTATGCGAAAATTTGTCTTTCACGTGCTGAGTGAGTAGTTTCCTGCAAGAGAATATTACTTTTTTTATTTTTATTCACAGCTTGATTCCACACTGTATTTTTGGTACAAGTATGGAATTTTCAGCATGTGATATCGGTAGCCCAAAATTTGCAGGCCGACCATAGATATCAGGTGTGCGTCGGCGAGGGCTCGAACCCCGGACCATGTGGATGGTCGGCGAGAGTCCTAACCACTGTGCCACCGACGCACGTAGGCTGGTGGTGATGTCTGTTTTACGAAATCCGTCTACGGAGAAGTTCTGCTTTTCTATTCATTTCTAAAGAGACATACACTAGATAAGCATCTGTAAACCTGAAATGCTTAATTCTTTGAATTTGTCTTATCTTCAAATTTTTTCCTACAGTTGAAAGCATTTATTTCCCGATACGAATTTAAAACAAGCAATAAAGGTTAAAAAAGCAGGATTTGATGAATTCATCAAATTTTTGTAGAACTGGTCACCCGAATACTCTACATACATGGATATATATACTTTTGAAATTACATTGGGAGATATAAGACTGATAAGTAAATTAATAATTTTTCCTTCACGTTCCCAGTGGAACATAGGGCTTCAAGCTGGAGGCTTTAAGTTTCTGTAGCAGTGTTTATTTTTACAGGATGGGGTTGCCAGCCTCATGCCCAACCTTTCCTCTTTACCAGCTTTATTTCTGGTTCAGTGAGGTAAAGGAGTGCGTTGGACGGGGATCGAACCCTGCACCATGTGCATGGTTGGCGAGCCTCCTAACCACTATGCCACCAACGCACTACAGTGGCTTTAAGTTTCTGTAGCAGTGTTTATTTTTACAGGATGGGGTTGCCAGCCTCATGCCCAACCTTTCCTCTTTACCAGCTTTATTTCTGGTTCAGTGAGGTAAAGGAGTGCGTTGGACGGGGATCGAACCCTGCACCATGTGCATGGTTGGCGAGCCTCCTAACCACTATGCCACCAACGCACTACAGTGGCTTGAAGTTTCTGTAGCAATGTTTATTTTACAGGATGGGGTTGCCAGCCTCATGCCCAACCTTTCCTCTTTACCAGCTTTATTTCTGGTTCAGCGAGGTAAAGGAGTGCGTTGGACGGGGATCGAACCCTGCACCATGTGCATGGTTGGCGAGCCTCCTAACCACTATGCCACCAACGCACTGATAAGTAAACAAACTATATTGAATTAGTCATGCAGGAAGACAAGTGTGAATGTTTTCCAGGTCATGTTCAAATAGATAAGGAGAGAGACAGAGAGAGAGTATGAGAGATCAAAATTAACACAAATTACAATTGTTTAGCACAAGTGATGCTAACTTCATCCATACACGTAAAGTGTTGAGTTTGCTTATCTCAAATAACTTAATACTGTTGCATCTTTAAGTGGTTTTTCTGTGTAAAGTGTATGCTTATATTTTGTCAAGAGTAATAATAGTAATAATTACTATTTGAGGAGTTGCATTTCAAGCGAACTATACGCTAGTTTTAACAGTTTTGCTTCATTACTTTAAAGTGTTACTTGGTAACCGCATCAGTCTTTGTGCTAAAATTCTATTAAGACAACATATCCTCCTAATGAATTATAGTATCATGATTATTATTACTATCGCTATTATTTCACAGCTTGAAACTCTACAGTCCATCCATCCCACGTGTAAACGACCTTTGCGTTTTGTGGTGAAATCAATTCTAGAGAAGATGATAAAGAAGTTTGGGTAAGTAAACAAAGAATATATACCTTTTTATATACAACAGTAATATTCGTAGTGTGTTTCTTTTCTACTTACCAGAGAACGGTTTTGTCGACTTAGAGCATACGGATAATATAGTCTTCCTAGGGTGGAGATGCTGACACCTTGAGTGGCAATCTTCGAATGTTTTTGGTGTGCGTTTTGCTCCTGTCACATATAAGATGATTCTTTTTAGGACTGGACTGCATCGTTTCCTAGCCTTATCACCAGGAGTGAAATAGGGGAGTGTGCTAACCACTTCACTTATTTGGGAAGTTGCATCAGCCCCAGTGGACTGATTGCTGTGTAGAAATCTCAGCACGAATACAAAGGACTACTGCCGCATTTGGGGACCTACGTCATCTCTAGCGTAGACGTGATTAAAGAATGTGTGCATTGTACCGCAGGCCGCTGCCCCATTTTTTTATGACTGTAAGACATGGCCATTAAAAGTAGAAGACATGTAAAGGCTATCTGTCTTTGATCATAGGTGTCTGTGTTCTGCCTTTCGTATTAGGGGGCATAATAGGGTGAGTAATATTAAGGTCAGACATTGAGTGTTAAGTAAGGGGGTAGGTCAATCGATGAAGTTTTGAAGCAGTGTCGGCTGAGATGGTTAGGACATGCGTTACGCATTACAGCACCTGGCTTGTGGAAGTTATTACGGGTTATTGTTGATTGTATTGATTCATATATCAATGTCGAGGAAAAATTGATGTCAGTTAGAGAACCGTTGAAAACCAGGGTGAATTGAACAGCTGTTTCATCTGAGTTTGAGACTTCAGCAGTACACACGCACACATATTGGAGTTTGAACCCAAGATTCTCTGTTTACAAGAAACATTGGAACGGGTTCCAGTGGCTGAATGATCTATGAACTTGGCTTGTTACTGGAAAGTCTTGGGTTCAATCTCCCGATAGTGGGGTGCCATTGAAGAGTCTCAAAAGAGGACAAAATATCTACTCAATACTCTCCGGTTTTCAATGGTTCCCTAACTGACATCAATCTGTAATCAAACCTCAAACAATTCAAATCCCTACAAATTAATTCATGAATATTCAAATATCATGACATTTAACAATGATTTACGCCTGTTTTGCGAGAATTTGCAATTCTAAGGAAAAGGCACAAACAGTGAAGAAAATTTTACCTTTTCGACGATTCATTTTCATGGGCTGTACACAATCGTAATTATATTTAACAAGGAAATCATAAGACCAATCGGATACTGGTAAACTTTGTCCTTGAAAAATTGTATTACAGAATGTAAGGTGTAATCTGGAAGGGATGACTAATTGTAAGGTAGAAAAGAGACAGAAGTTGGCATGACGTTATAAGCGTGAGATAATGACTAATCAATAAACTCGTGTAGAATGGACAGAAACTAGTGGAAAGGTGATAAAGTGTTTTTTCCAAAATAAAATCTGTATGAAAAAGTACTGTTATTAATAAACAGTAATAGAGTGGTAATGAAATATGGATGATGGGAATAATAATGATAATAAAAGGATTGATGATAATAATAATAATAATAATAGTGACCTTACATAACAAAGGAAAGAAGCAAAATTGTAGTAAGAACTTTACTCTGGCCATGGTAGGGCGAGAGAATGTATGTATCGCTTTTGAATGCAGAGGTGCGATTTTAGATCTCGAATAACTAATGCTTCAACTATGTACAGATGGCGTATCCGAAGTCCCTTTGTACGATATTGTCTGTCTGTCTTTTCTCGACATAGAACTTTGCACAAATGTGCGGAAGTTCAAGTCGCCACACTCCGTGTAGCACGCGAAGCAAGAGAAGAAAGTATAAGAGAAGCATAATAGAAACAGTGAGCAGAGGTGTGAGACAAAGGAGGAGTAATAACGAAGAACAAAACAGTTTCATTGGTGGAGATCATAAGTCACAAGGAGTGGATGCATCTGCGCCAGCCATTGAGAACGATTTTGAGCCATGTCACCAATTGTTTCCAACCATAGATTTTTACCGTCCCGAGGACCCCAGCCTGGAAGTCTACACCTTCCTACGTGGCTTAGACCAACTGTTGTGGATTTCATTGACTGGTGCCATGTTTTTGTTTGACCGCCGCTAGCTTTTTTCCAGCCTGACCCTATATCCGCTAGCATTGCTCGTCGAGGGAGGCGATGACTCGGCATACGTAACACATGTCCTAACCATCTCAGTCTTTGTAACTTCACGACTTCGTCGATTGATTTCCCCTGTTTACCTAGAACTCGACGCCTAACCTCAATGTTGCTCACCTTATTATGCCACTTTACACGGGAAATAGAGCGCAGGCACCTATGATCAAAGACAGCTAGTCTTTTCATGTCTCCCACTCTGAGTGGCCAGGTCTCACAACCATAGAGGAGGACGGAGCGGACTGATGAGCAGTACACCCGCCCTTTGGTCCATAGTCGAACATCTCGTCTACGCCAGAGTCGGCGTAAACTGGCAAATGCGAAACGAGCCCCCTGTATTCGCTCTGAGATTTCGTCAGAGATCAACCCGTTGGGGTTGATGGTACTTCCCAAATAAGTGAAGCGATCAACGTGCTCTACCACTTCACTTCCTATTTTTAAACTAGGCGTCGATGTAGTCCAGTCCTGTAACATCATCTTGCATTTGACAGCAGGAGCGAATCGCATGCCAAACATTCGTAGATTGCGGCTCAGTGTGTTCAGAAGACTCTGCATTTTGTCAGCGTCTTCGCCTAGAAGGACTATATCGTCTGCATATTCCAAGTCAACGAGATTATTCCCTGGTAGCAAGTCAATCCCTGAGTCGCTGAAGTCCTTTAGGGTTAAGTTCATTAGTGCATCTATGGTGAAGTTGAATAGAAAAGGGGATAATGGGCATCCTTGACGGACACCACTGGTCGTCATCAGTTCAGATGACAGCTCGCCGTAAGCCCTCACCTGGCTGTATGAGTACGAGTAGAGTTCCTTAATCAGTGCAATATATTTTCTCGGAATTCCCTTTACAGCCAAGCATCTCCAGAGAACTTCTCGATCGACAGAGTCGAAAGCTGCCTTTAGGTCAAGAAATATAATGACTGTTGGACGCCGGTAGGAATGCCTATGTTCTAGAATCTGTCGGAGGGTGAAGATATGATCAATACACCCTCTTCCTGGTCTAAAGCCTGCCTGGCTCTCTCGTGTTTGTGCCTCCCGAGCACCACTTAGTCTACGCATGATTATTGAGCCTAAGACTTTAGATACTATATTGAGGGACTGTAAAGCATTCATGCAAGTGGGGGTGCTCGATGTCCGGAGATGATAAGTTGTTTGAGGATAGAGCTGGTGCTATTCTTCTTTTCTCCTCTGGCTAACCAAGCTGGACAGTGTTCCAGAATACTTTTGTGGACTTGACGTTGCGTTGTAATTCTTACCAGACTGGAAAAACTATTCTTAAAAATCGAGCACCTAGACTATTCGATTGACTTCAAGTGTTTATATTTTTAGTATGCGTTTTTGTCGTTGTGATAGTTATGACTTGGTCGTAACATTTTTTATGTGAAACAATCAATCACTTATTATAAATTACATAAGTGAATTTGTTCATCCCACCCACCCCCTTTGACCGATAGGAGTGTAAACATCTTATTGGATGGAGGAGTTGCATGTATAAATCAATAGTACTTTTTTCGGTATATTATTCTCTCTATCATCCAACTTACAGTTACCTAGACCTAGACAGATATTTTCCTATATTGATAGACAGAAGACCAGTAGTAGTTCAGCGAAGAGTCTCTTTTCGCCGACGGATTCATTTTCATACCTGTACAATCGCAAATATATATACGGTTGTTTTGTGTGTGTGTGTGTGTGTGTGTGTGTACATTAAATTTGTCAAACAAAAATACAATTAGTAAGTTCAGATGAATTGCATGTTGTTGATATAAGAGGATAGTAACAAAAGTGATGAGTTGTTACAAATGGTTGTTAAAGAAGAGTTACGTAATAACATGAATGGTTTGGTGAAATAGATGTACTCAGGGTGTACACGGAAACAAAATAACCTACGGAATTACACAAGGGTTTTAAGTAGTCAGAAAAATAAGCATACAAACAAAAGTTAAGTCAAATCAACGGAGTTGTTACCATGAGAGTAGAAGTGGCTGAATAATTTTCCTCTGTATGCGTAGTTCTGGTTCTTCCAACTGAATGGCTAGGGTTTCTGCGATGCAAAGAAGACGGAATCGTATTGTCTTCGGTAAGTTGTTCTTCACTTTGTAGATTACTTTGAAGCAGGAGGTGCTTGTTAAGATGGAATAACCAGTGTTGACGAGATGTTCGATTATTGCACTCCTTATACGGCCACTACTTCCTTTTTGCAGCCACACCGTATAAGGAGTGCAATAATCGAACATCTCGTCAACACTGGTTATTCCATCTTAACAAGCACCTCCTGCTTCAAAGTAATCTACAAAGTGAAGAACAACTTACCGAAGACAATACGATTCCGTCTTCTTTGCATCGCAGAAACCCTAGCCATTCAGTTGGAAGAACCAGAACTACGCATACAGAGGAAAATTATTCAGCCACTTCTACTCTCATGGTAACAACTCCGTTGATTTGACTTAACTTTTGTTTGTATGCTTATTTTTCTGACTACTTAAAACCCTTGTGTAATTCCGTAGGTTATTTTGTTTCCGTGTACACCCTGAGTACATCTATTTCACCAAACCATTCATGTTATTACGTAACTCTTCTTTAACAACCATTTGTAACAACTCATCACTTTTGTTACTATCCTCTTATATCAACAACATGCAATTCATCTGAACTTACTAATTGTATTTTTGTTTGACAAATTTAATGTACACACACACACACAAAACAACCGTATATATATTTGCAATTGTACAGGTATGAAAATGAATCCGTCGGCGAAAAGAGACTCTTCGCTGAACTACTACTGGTCTTCTGTCTATTAATTTTCGAATGGGAATTTTTCATGAATTTTCTTATATGTTCCTGATTACTCTTCTTATTGAATTCCTTATTTCCTGCTTATTATTATCATCATCACCATCATTATCCTGATAGACGTCAAGCTATTCAAGGTCTGCTGAATTCAGAACACCAGAAAATAGTTCGTAATTCTGCTAAACTTATTGCTCGTCGTGAACGTAAATCAAAAGCGCTAGAGAAGTCGACATCAAAATCAACAGCATTATCGTCAGTATCATCATCGATTATTGGTTCTGTACATCAACAACTATCAGACAGTGATTCTGATCATAATTCAAGAAAATCTTTAATCAATGATACTAAAAGTATTGTATCATCAATTCGTAGTAAATCATCACGTTTACCAAAACGAGTGCATATAACCCGGTATGTTGTTAATGTATTAATATGTCTGTTCATAGAATTTTACTTTTTGCTCATATTAATAGTCCCTAAGCATTCGGGAGGGGAGGGGGGGTAACTGAAATATTCTTCTCTTGTATTTCTTGTAGAAATACCAGTGAGTTTGTTGCCCGAGTGGTCCCCTGTAGAAGATTATCTAAGTGCTGTCGGGATTAAAGGTAGGTCTATAAGACAATGAAATAAGTGGACAGACACTAGTGCTGTTGTACAATCTCCTCCAGATTACGTTCTGACGGTCAGTTTAGGCGACGTCAAGAGTGATTTTTCGGAGGATTTCATCATAAGCTGACATCAGTTAGAGAACCATTCGGAAACCAGCTGGGACTACTAGACAGCTGTTTCGTCAACCTAGTTTGGAACTAATCAGCAATACAAACACCTACCTCCAGGGTTCGAACACAGGGCCTTCTGGTTACAAGGCGAGCTAGTCCGTAGACCAATTAAGCCACTGGGACCCGATCCGATGGCCCATGAATTCTAAATTCTGCCAATTCACGACATAGCGCGACCGCCAGCCAATGCCTTCGGCAAGTATTTGTCCTCACACCTCACCTGGTGTACTCTACTGGTCACGACTTTATATTTATTTAATTGCTTTACGTTCCTTATGAAACATATGGCTCCAAGCTAGAGTTTTGCAGTTTCGGTAGCAGTGTTTTCATTTTTACAGGGTGAGGTTGCTAGCCTGTCTCACGCTCAACTTTCCCTCTTTACTGATCTTATTACTGGCTCAGCGAGGTATATGAACGCGTCGACCGAGGATTGAACCCCAGAACGCGTATGGCGTAGTTGACGAGCCTTCTATCGCTGAACTAGCGACGAATGCGTGTGTCGTGGACCAGAGAATCACTCCTGAGTATGACACCTTAGACCGCTCAGTTACCCCTACCTCTGCATAGTTATCTGGGCTATCGTAATCCTCCATATTTCTTCACTTTCTTTCTTAGAGACGAAAAAATCAATTCCTTTTTTATATAGAATAATGGAGAAGGAAGCTTAACTATTATGTTAGAGGAGGAAAAGTGAAGGAACCTATCAGCTTTCCCACTTAAACTACAGTACTTAAACTTAAATAGATTAATCATCCATGTCCTCGTAAAATGCCCAATATTATATGTGCTGAGTAATTAATATTTCATTCAACTCTTTCTATTGATTTTTTTCTTCTGTTAAGGATGGATGAACTATTAGCCTCTTCCAGTGATGACGATGATAATGAAAAAAATAACTTCCCTGGAAATAAATCACAATCTGATCGTTCTTCACTACACTCACAAGCAAAATCAATACGAAGTAAAACCAAATCCCATGATGGCTTATCATCATCTAAGAATCATCCAATGTCACTTGTAGAAGAATTAGAAAATGTCAAACAAACTGCAGGACTGTGTAGACGATCACGTAAAAACATAATTCAAAGCGGATCTCTTGAAGACTTTGACATGGATATTGATATTGATAGTAGTGAAGATGATGAGGCAATCGATAAAGCCTTGTGTAAACATCCACTTCGAGCGAAACATCAAGTCCGTTTTGCTGATACAATTAGTCGTGCCTCTACAACTCGTAGTCATTTATCAAGGCGTTCACAGAAAGCCCAACAATTAGCATCATCAACACTGCATCATCAAGCGGTTACGGATTCTGATTTATGGCTTGTAGAGAATCCGAATGATTCAGAAATTTTAGATTTATCTGATCCCAAGTCACTGGCACGACATACAGCTTTTGCACCAGATGATATTACAGCGAAAGCAATGGTCAATGCTTTCAGAAATTCATTAGTTCAACAGTCTTCTTCAGAAGTAGTTGGACGTGCTCAACCATTCCCTATTGTTAATGGTAAAATTGTAATCGGAAATCCAGTTGATGAAAACCAATTGGTTAATAAGAAAGATAATTCGGGTAAGTACAATGTTATTTTCTTTTCTAGGTAGGTCTTATTTCTGAACAATTTCACTACCCAGTCCTGCACTATTATAATAGCAGTATTGCTTATTATAACGTTAATGTATATTATATGAAACATTACATGGTTTGCGGAAACCTTCCACCCTGGGTTTCGTGTTTGTTGACACCCAGTCAGCAGAGTGTATCTGTTGCAGTCTTGAAGGAACTCAGGTCACTCAGTGCTGCCGATTGCCTCCAACCATCTAAATGACAACAAAATGAGGGTGCACCATGATTTTCAGTCACTTAGCAGGGGTGATAGAATTCAATCTGCAGCAAATAAACGACTAGACGGATGATACTAGTTACTAATTGGTGTCCAATTATTTAGTTATTTATTTAAACGCAAAAAAACTTGGTACAATATGGCACCAAGACGATGCGCCACACAATAATGACTAAAAAACAACATAGATTAAAAGTAAAGAATATAAGCGGAGAACGGATAAGGAACTTCGTCTGGAAGGAAAACAGACATACTTAACAAGATCAAACAGTATTCGTTAATTATCATCATCAAGGGAAGAAAGAAGGAAATTGCAGTACGCTCGCCTTTGATTACGATTCTTGGCCATATCCGATATAATGTTTCGAGCCATCGATTCGAGCTCTCTCTCGGACTCCAACCAGGGTGACGTGACGCACCAACCGATGCTAACCTAGCACAAATATCCTTCATCCCACGACACCATGTCATGGACTGACCACCTCTCCGCCTTTTCCATCCCTTCCAGAGTTAGCGAACAGAGACTTGTACGGGATAACATTTGCAGCACATATTGATGGTGATCTCCACTGTGTTCAAACACACGCCGCCGAACCTCAGAATTACTCACGTGATGATGCCATCGAACGCAAGCAATCCTGCGGAGACAGCGATGATCGAACACACAGAGTCACCGCACATCCTCAGCTCGGAGAGGCCAGTTTTCACAGGCGTAGAGCAAGACAGCAAAACATTGTATACCCGACCTTCGACAGCCAGGTTAACGTCGCGACGATGCCAGAGATGTGGCTCAAGTTGATGTATGCCACCCTAGCCTTCATGATACGCTTGGAAATCTCATCCGTCACACCTCCACCAATCATTATCAAAGGAAGAAATTTGAAGGAGGTTACTTCCTTCACTTATCTGGACAGCATCGTTTCAACTACAGCTGACTTCACATATGAACAGGAAAGACAAGATACGCCTTCATCAAATTGAAACTAGTTTGGAAATCTTCTGCACTCAGTTATCATAAAGAAAAAATTTCGGATTTTTAACACCAGTGTTAAGTCACTTCTCCTATTTGGATTAGACACTTGCATTGTGCCTCACCAAAAGCATTTCTAGTAGGCTGCATACTGAAGGTCAGATGACAGACAGACCGGAAAGAATTGGCAACAAGAAACTCTGGAAATGAACCAATCAAGAACCCGTTGGCCAACAAATTTGCAGATGAAAATGAAGGTGGGTTGGACAAACACTGAGGAGACCGTCGAATGACACACACACCTCGTGACAGGATGTCGCTTGTGTTGAACCCGAATGGAAAACGATAAGTGGGACATGCAACAGTGACATAGAGGGGGGGGTTGTGTGAGGAGAAAATGAGAAACTATAAGCAATTGTGGAGCCAGATGAAGAGGACTGCAAAGAACAAGGCGAAATGGAGATATTTTGTTAAAGCCTTATGTTCCACTCGAAACCCAAGGGGTTTATAATTTATAATTATTATTATAGGTGATGGTTAGATGTGAATTGAAATGGTTAACCCATTGTGACTGTTAAGTGTACGTCTAATATTTTTTTGGACTTTTCACAAACAGTATTGAACTAAAGTTGTACTGACATGGGAAAATTTCAACAATAGCGTTCCAGGAGTGCGAACGCACGGGTGACCTTTAGCCGACCATTCATAAAAATGAGGAATGTTTGCTCAAAACATGGTGTATATTAACAAGAAAATGCTTGAAAACGCATTTAACACGTTATCTTTCTCTGACATGACTTAAAAATACGTCCTGGTTGTAATGAGGAGTATCAGTTGCTAAGTTGGACTAGTTTCGGTACATGTATTCACCGAGATGACTACAGATGAACTGTTTTTATGGATCGTTTATCTCTGTCATCCTGCTTGCAGTCTTCCAAAAAAGCCCTCGGCTGAATTATTATGGTTTCCAGCAACAGGACAGACGCCTAGTTACTAGGAAAACGTGGACAATAAAACATTAAAATAAATGACATCAACTATAAATCTATCCCTAATCGTAACTATAAGCTTAATCCTGATCCTAAAAATAACCCTAACCTTAATCCTAATCGTAGCCTCAATACTTAACTTAACCCTAATCCTAACCCTAACGAGCTATTAACACATTGTCCAAACAGTACTTAAAAACGTGATCTGGGTGGAATATGCTGCTTAGCTGGTGATAGTGTTGATATTTCATGTGCGGTCAGCCAACGACTACCATGCGTTCAAGGTCACTGGAGCGTTCGCACTCCTGGGACGCTATTGTTGAACTTCGCCTTAACATGTTCTTCCTTTTGACTCATTGGCTTATTTATTGCAAACTAAAGTAAGATGAATTTCTAGTGTGTATGTTAGTAATGTGATTTCGTTTTCAAAAGCATATATCCTTTTTCAGGGTTTGTCAGTTCGTTCATTGTCTATTTTTTTCTCTTACACAGAATGGGCGCTATCTGATGATGATAATAATGATGACAGCAGTCTACCGGCTACATCTCATTATCAACAAGGCAAATTAATGAAAAATAAAAAACAAAAGACTTTACAAATCCCTGGTCGTGTTTATGCCTCAACAAAAGCTAAAGGTGATATGAAACGACGTGGTATGCCTGAACCTTATGCATTTGTTCCACTCGGTGCTGGTATAGGCAAATCAGCTGATACACTGAGTCAAAAGATAACACCACTTGAACGTAGACGTCTACTCAGAGAAGTTGGTCTTGGTAGACAGAAACGGAAACGAATTCAGGGGGCAGTAAAGGCATGAAATCATCAATGATGAAGACAAGTGGGTTAAAAACTGGCAAAAAATCAGTTTTCAAAGATTAAAAACTTTTAATGGATTTATAGTTTGTTTTTTTTTAACAAAAAAGAATGAAAAGAAATTTGACTGACATAAGCTTTGTGATCACTTTGTGTTGTACCTGATCATAATGTATTGTTGCTCTCATTAAAGCCTTTTTTTTGATTTGAATACCTTCACAGTTGACTTGGTTTGTTTATTTGATTCATAAAAAAGAGATATAAGTATGTAGAAAAAATCCCCATTTAGACATTTAGCAAAACAGAAAGATTGAGTGAGCGAGCGAAGAAATATTTACTTTTCAATTAGATCCTCATCTCTGGCTCTAATCTAATATCCATATAGCATTTTTATTACAATACACAACAGTTTACCAATCAAATGACACTGACATGTTTGTTAACAAGAATTAGTCAGTCGGTGTCAAAATGTCAATGGGGCGATAATTAACGAAGAAAATCAATACACATTTAAAAGGTAGAAATTATATTATTAGTATTGTTTCCTTGGGTTCCTAGTGGAACATAGGGCTTCAACTTCACGTCTCCACTTGCTTCTGTCTTTCTTCTGCTGTACTTTTCACCTGCATCCATGTTTGTCCATGCTGTTTCAACTCCTCTTCACACGATCTCCTCCATGTTACCCTTGCACTGACGTCTCACTCTCCGCTTCCCTTTCGGCCTGGTTCCACTCGAGCAATGGCCTGACACGGGCGCGATGTCACCCAGTGGCGGCCTCCTCAGCGAGTGTCCAATCAATCCATCTCCACTTTCTCCTGCATATATGTTGGTTGGCGATTGGTTCTTGTTTTGTTTGTTTGTTCCCAGCCATAGTTTCTTGTGGGTGATTCCTTCTGGCCCGGCCATCTGATCTTCAGTATGGATCCAGCGAAGACAGTTGTTGGTTGATAAAGGTGTGGTCTGCAACAGGCTGTTGGAAATATTCTTTGTGACCCGCCCGCCAAGTTTTTGATCCGTATAGAAGAACTGACTGACTTGACGTTTGTATTGAATATCCGACTGGATTTTGTTGTTGATGCTGGCTGAGTGACGAAGATTTCCAGATTGGTTTCAGTTGGTTGATGAATGTGTTTCTCGCCTTCCGGATTCTCGCTCGATTTGACATCCTCGTCCGTTCCGACTTCCTGTAGTTGAGACAATGCTTCCTAGATCAGTGAGTGAATGAAGTAACCTCTCTCAAATCCCTCCCGTTGATGATGATTGGCGCTGGATGTTGATGCTGTTGTTGTTGGTTGGTTGGTTATTTTCATAACCTCCGTCTTGTCTATGTTCACCTGGAGTCCTGTCTTCGCCGGCTGCTTCTTCGACCAGTTTGTCGGTTCGATTTTGTATGACCTTTCTTCAAAAGCTAGAAATAGTTAGAATAAATTAATTTTACAAGGATAACACGTAATTAAAGATGAAGTGGTCAGGAAGAAATAAATAAAATAATTTGGACAATTATAATTTTTATAATTTTAAAGGTTTAAGGGGAGGGGGACAAAGTAATTCCATTTATACATTCATGTAACGGTGGCCAAGGTAAGGAAAGTGGCTGTACAAATTTCTTCTGAACACACAGGTTTAGCTTCTTCAGATGGATTCATATTGCTTCAGCTGTCTGTAGAAGACGAACTCGTAGAGTAAAATTAAGATAAGCAGGAATGTGATAAATAATTTTAAATGCAGTATTAACGTCCACCTTATGCTTACTATCTACAAGGTGTGCTAAAGTAGAGCTACGAATAGATCTTGTTTGTCCCTTTCTTAACCATGTTGGATGGTGTTCAGAAAAACGCCCAATGTAGCTGGCTCCGCAACTGCAGTCAAACTGTTAGATATACATAAAAGAGGCAAATTTAGGTAGTTGTGATCCTTATTTCTCGAACGTAGAAATATGGGTGGTTGTGAAGAGAGACAACGTACCTCTGTTGCATAATAAGCTCTTTTAACTGCATTCTTCAGGCGCTGTGTTATTATTTCGTTGATGTTGTCACCGAGGAACTGCAGTTTGATGAACAGTGGTATGTCAAAATTGTTTTTGTAGATATATTTAATAATGCCTTTGTCATGTAAGCAGCTGACGAGAAGGCAACGAAATAAAAGATGGTAACATTTTATTCTGCTAAAAATTGCAGCTGTTGCTTTGTTCAAATTTTTCGGAACTGTTGCCAGACTGACTCTCCTAGGTGCTGCTGAATTCATATTTTTCTCAATGAACTTATTTGGATAACCATTTTTTTTTCTAAGTAATTCTCTAATAATCTTGAGCTCCTCATTGAGGCAATCAAAGATGAGGATCTAATTGAAAAGCAAATATTTCTTCACTCAATCTTTCTGTTATATAAGTATGTGTTAATTCGCCATTGAGGTATGATTCATTTGATGTTTATGCAATAGTTTCCGGTGTTCTATTTCCTGTGGTTATTACTACTGGCCCACAAACATTTAATCTTCACTATTAGGCGTTTAAAAGCTAGCTTGATATAGGCAAATGTGTAAGATTGGTGAAGAATAAGAAGAGAACCGTAGTATTTTTGACTGAAATATGAATAGATTTGGATGAATTACAGATTTACAAAAGATTATTAAAGAAGTGAACTGGTATTAAGAGGTTTAAAGTAGGTTAATAAATATCCAAGAATTAAAATTACTAAAGAAAAGACGGAGTTGAGTAAAGCTCAGCTGTAATTAAAATTGAACAAAGTGGTAATAAGGGTAGAGATGTAATAAGTGGTGATGGGGAAGAAAATATTATCCATTTTAGAAGCAAAAGAAAGAAAGAAATTTTAGATTTCAGCATAAAAAGGAAAGAAGATGGGAAGTTGAACGCACTAGTGTGTTTACAGAAAACCCACACATTCAAACAGTTATTTGAACCCCTTATCATCCCATCATATGTCAGTAAAAATAGGATTAGTGATATGTTTAAGTGACAGAGCACAAAAACTAAGCATTACCAAGGAAAATCTAAGACAGGAAGTGATACATATAAGAGAAGCCTTGAAACTTAATAATTACCCTGATAAATTAGTCATGAAATATGTAGGGAAATGTAAAAATGAATAATGGTAGTAGTGATAGTAATAATAATAATGGTAATATTAACGACGATATGCATGTTAGACATGCGCAAGACAACACCAACAATAAGGAATCTAAATCATCAGTAGTAATTCCATACAAGGAAGGGACCTTGAAAACCTTAAGCAGAATTCTTAACAATGCAGGAATAAAAGTGACATCCAAACTCACACACTCAATTAGAAACAAGCTTTGCCGGTTGAAGGATCAATCGTGTGGAGCCTTTAAAACAAAAAAATTTAGTTTATCTAATACCCTGCCGGAATGATTGTCAGGTCAAATACATAGGTCACAGTAGTAGAACAGGGGTAGTCAGACTAGCCGAGCATAAAAATCTAGATTAGTTGACCCAAATAAGATAAGAAATCTAGAGAATAGTTCAACTATACTACTCACTGCATGCTACTACACGCAACCATACAATAGGATGGGATAAAATGACAGTTTTGAAATATAATGTCATAGGGTAGAGGGAGAGATTGATAACAACGGAAGCTTTGTTTGTCGAATCAACTGCAAACATGTGTAATAGGAATGACTCAGCACCTGTCCCAGATATCTGAAAAATTCTACTACCTCAACGACGACAAATAGGAGAGAACAAAGAAAACTAAAGGACTCAAGTTTCGAAGTCGTGTGATTATAATTGATATGATTATGAACACGAATAAATTGTGTTCGGAACGTTATCCAGCAAATAATACTGTTTCACTGTGTGATATATCTAATAAACAAAGCAATATGGAATTACTTACTACCACAGTGCGTAAGTTTTACACATATTAACATTGAAGTTGGTTTGTTTGGTGTCCAAATTCTATCAGGTGTTACAGAATAAAGTTTCCTGGGGACTTTTTTTCCATAACTATGGGTAAGTGTTCAATGATACGTTTGGATACGGCTGACATACCCAGCTCCACAAGTGATTTGATAGATGCACATTGATGAAGCCGGTCAACAGTGGTCTCTTAACACTGAGTACGTAATTCTTGTTTTGTCTTTCTTTTGCTTGTTTACTTCTTAAGTGGATAATACTTTCTTCCGCACCCCATCACCTTCTATTACACTTCTATCGCTTTTGACTTTTGTTCAGTTTTAATCATAGCTGAGCTGTACTCAACTCTATCAACTAGATTACGCCACTCAACTTGCTTATTTAATCTTACTTCAGCTTCTAACCAATTAACGGAATTTATTATCAAAAATTTACACTTCTAATGACAAATCTTTGGAAATATTCACTTTGTTGCTAAGACAATTTACTATATTTATATGCGATTGTACAGCTTGAGAATGATATTGCCGAAAAAGAGGAGTAACTCTTCGCTGAACGAACGCCTTTTCTTTTAGATGATTCAGTGGGAATTTTTTAAAGTAAAATTACTTTGAGGATAAAGACTATCGCAAGGTGTTTACGTGTACTGTATAGGAAACATCACAGATGTTATTTTAGCTGCGTAAAACAATTGATAAAACACCTTTAAAACAGATAAAAATAACATCTGATACAATGATAATAGCATTCCTTTAGGCCCGTAATACAAAATCAACTAACTACTTTAGGAAATTTAATTCGTAACTGGCCGCCTACGTTCTACCTATGCACTTTCACTGAAACGCAAGTTTGATCTGCGATAGCGCATATCCCTATTGAATAAAACATCTCAATTGCCGGACACTACAAACGAAATGAAGATAATTTGGAGGATGGCATCATGAATAGACATCAGTTAGACAACCATTGGAAAACCTGGGAGTATTGGACAACTGTTTCGTCAGCCTAGTTTGGGACTAATCAGCGCCAGGGTTCGAACCCAGGACACTCTGGTGGCAAGACGAACCCGTAGACCATTAAGCCACTAGAACCCAATTTAATGGCCCATGAAAAGCAAGACAAGCTTTCATTACTCTCAAATCTGTGTGCAGGAGGTCAGCAGCACTCAGCATCAAAAATAAGGTCCGGATTTTCAACTTCAATGTAAAGTCAGTGCTACTATACGGATCAGAGACTTGGCGAGTCATAAAGAGCATCTCAAACAAACTTCAGACCTTCATTAACAGCTGTC